ATATAATGTATTTTAGTGCTCTGGAAATTTCCCACAATGAAACCAAAAAAGTAGCATCCATTGTAGGACCGCAACTAATTTTTTTCTTGATAAATAATTAGCTGCATTTACATGCACACTAATATTCAACTATCATTCCCAATGTGACAATATTCCAGATTGGATTGGGGTCATGTTAACAGCATATTCCATTTGGATATTATTCTGGTTTTAGGAGCATTCTTTGGACATGTTGACAGCGCATTCGGAATATGCGTCTCAATTGGGTTTTTTACTGCAGTTTGCGACACACACCGCCTCTGGCCTATTTACAGTCGGCTCTGTGTGTTGTCAGAGATTTGTTATACAAAAATAAACTCACCAGTAGTTTGCAAGGCTGGTGTAGAGATGCATGCCCAAAAGAAAAGCCCATATTATTATACAACACACATACTTTTAAACATTATAAAAGACTTAGATACGTGCTTGCATTGCTGACATTTTCAAGAAGGTGACTGAAGGAATGAAAGAGGGAGGCTGTGTTTGTGTTGTCCAACAGTTCCGCCAAAACCTATTTTGACACAAAAATGCAAAATGGCACAAGCAGCTCCAGCCATTTCCCTTTTTTTTTTTATTTGACACTGTAAACGACATGTCAGGGCATGGTGATTGGAGTATACATGGCTGCATGTCTTTTTATTGAGACAAGGACCAATCATTTCATTGTCTCATATACATTTTCCTTTTTTTACATTAAAAAAAACCCATAAAGTTCAATACTGATAAAAAGACAATAAACTGAAAGGACTGATTTCTAGATACTATACATCAACCCCTTACATTTACATGAGTATATCAATACTCCACTCCCTATGTGCCCCTACATATGTACTTACATGCACACATGTACTATAAACACTTGCATACCACACATTTTCAATCAGTCATTTCAAATAAAACAAGAGAAGAAGAAAGAGGAAAAAAAGGAAGTCAAGAAATAATACTAATACTAAAATGAATAAATAAAAATAAGATCATAATAATTAAAAAAGAGAGAAAATTTAATTAAACAAAGGGGAAAAAAATCAAAACAGAGAAAATGTCTGTTTTCTGTCCCTTTTTTCACTAATGCACACCCCTTGTACCACATGTCATACAGTATATATCTACTTCTGTCAAAATAGAGATTTAAGGAATTATTCCAGTGAAACATCTTATAACATTTTAACAAACTGTTGTGATGAACCAAGGGATTTCTTGGTGATATGTATGCAATTCAGTTTTCCCAGATTCTATGAAATCTATCCAGTTCTAATCAGGAAGAAAAAGTCAATGTCTCCATCATATATGTATGTATTTATGTATGTATGTATATGTATATGTATATCATCCACCCAGTACTCAGTCCTTGGTGCCTCTGTCTTCTGCTATTTTCTGGTAATAGCTTATTTAAAAAAACAAAAACAAAAACAAAAAAAAAAACATTTTTGGTTAGCCATGTGAGCAGTTTAGTAGGAATATCATCATTTTTGGAATAAAGGCAAAAAATTGTGTATTTTGTACATGTAAATGTAGATGTTTTGTCTGCAAAATGTCAGAAAATAGTGAAAGCTGCCTGCTATAATTTTCCAGAGCCCTAGATGAGGTATTCAGATATTGTTTCATTCAACCAGCTGTCCAAACCTTCCAAGCATGTGCAGTGTACAATTAGATACAACAAAAAAAGCAACAAACCATCATGATTTTAGAATTTGAATTTTTGACATTTTGGGACATTTTGCTTGTAAAAGGATTAATTGATTATCAGAATAGTTGCAGATTAATTGTCTCCCTATGTGCTCATCCACTTGTTGTAGCTCTAGTCCATGGCATGACATGTACTAGGGATGTTCCAATCTGATGCAGAGCTATTCAGTTGTCAAGCATATACATTAGATTGATTTAAATAACTTTTAATGCGCTTGAAGTCTGCACTGTGCAGCTGTAATATCTTGGAAAAAAGAAGTATCAGATCAGGACTCGGTATCGGCAGATACTCAACATATTATTACTCTGTAATTGGTGGCAAAAAACTTGAGTTGGACTTCTAGAGCATGCTCACATGCAATACAGTGCATTTTACAGATGTGAAAATGAATAGTTGTGAAACACTGTACCTGTCAATGAGGATGCAACGTGGGGCCCAAGTGTCCAAAATCTGACTTTACTGCTCTCTGCAGACTAAACTACTGAGTGTTCATTATATAGAGTCATTGAACAGGACTGGTCAGTCTTTCTTTAGATTAGAAAATAAAACCTGCTCATAGACAGTTGATGTGATACACAGGCACATCCGTATTCTGAGCACACAGAGGGGACATAATTAAATTTGTAAGTCTATCAAGTTTTCATGTTATGTGAATAATTGCCATTCCTTAGCTGACAATTTGTCTCTCTCGCTCTCTATTGTCTTCAGCCTGGATCCAGACCAGAAAGAGCAGCTGATCGAAGTGATAGAGAAACTATTGAAAGACAAAAGCACAGTAAGTACAGGCTGAGCAGTAAGTGCTACTCAGTTTAATTTCCCATGCTGGGGAACGCAGACCACTGGAGGGCGCCCCAGTCAAAGCGATTCTCCTCTCAGCTCTCCATCCCACAGCTCATTCGGCAATGCCATGGTTTGTTAACACCCACTTAAACCCACACATCTTCAGATGCTCCTTGTTAAGTGTCCATTTGGAAGGAATTTTCGCACTGATGCTAGTGTCAGCTTAATTTTCTCAAAGGCCAACTTCTTTTTTTTTTTTTCCCTACAATGGACCATAAATGAGTTGGATTCTCAAATTCTTTGTTTAGGCCAGTCACAGACACAATGCAGGCAGCCCATTAGGAGTCAGTAGGCAGCACATTAATTTGAGGAGGTCACAGTGAATACTAAGGGTGTTTAAATGCCAATTTCAGATATGTAGACGTTGGTCTCAGAATGCAGAGTATGTTGTGTTTGGATGTGCCAGTCATGCACAGTTTGTTGTAATTATGTATTCATAGCGTATACCTATCATTATACAAACAAAACAAAGCAGCTTAGGCCAAGGGGGGGATGGAAAGCCCAGTACCAGATGCATAGCATATTTAGCCCCAGACGCTAACGAAGACAGATGACTTCTCCCCCGTTGGAGCCCACATTGTGAGGCTGGGGATGGAGAGAGAGGGCACTATCATCACACAGACACAAGAGCACTATCAGTCTGTGATGAATGGCGAAAAAACCCAAACATAGTGGACACTTAATAGCTATCAAGTGATGCATTTTTATGATGCTAGGACGATACCATGTAGCATTTAGAAGTCCCACAACGATGGCCAGGCTTCTTGCCTTTTTATTTCTATTTCTTTATGCTGGCAGTAACACTAAGCAGTGTTTCCCTGAGATCAACTACCTTAGAGGGCTGGTGAGGACATGGAACGCATTTTAATTAATTAATAGCTAATAAGTAAGATAAGCTTTAAAGGTATACTGTGTAGTAATTGTCAGCTACTGTTTGTAAACCGTGTCATAGCAAAAGTGAAGGCAAGAAAACAACTCCAGATTCACTCTTGTTTTGGAATGAGCTTTGTCTGCTTGCCGTTTCGCCCCTCTATATTTGCGTTATTTCAGCACTGGGTCTGAGACTTTTGTAGCTTCCTCTTGGATGCCTTCTGCTTTCAGTCTGGCACCTGGTCGCTACCTTTTCAAGTCTCAACCTCACCTGTGCGCTGTGCCCAGGAACATTCCAAACACAGCAAATTATGAAGAAAATAAGAAAATACCGACAGAGGGCAGGGTTAGCGCTACTGTTGTCACGATACTGATGCTTTTACCTGCTTGAATATCTCGATACCAATACTGAAATGATATCATGACAAAAACCTAAAACTTCACTAAATCGAAAACTAGAAAATTTCCTCAGTGGAAGAACCAAGGAGGCGTATTGAGTCATTTGTGTTTAGTCTACGTTAGTGCACTACTGTAGAGTGCAGGCCAACAATCCTGGAAGTGTTAGACTTACAGTTAATACCATTTATTTGTATTATTTTCCTGCCCAATAAAATTGCATTTTATGTGCTGTTAAGTGTTTTCTTGTTAGTTTCTTTTTCATACATGTAGTTGTGGGTTTTCCTCAGTAAATCAGTACATTATAACGCTGTTGTTCCCAAAGTACAATTATTGTACAATTATTGTACAATTATTGTACAATTTTTAACGGCAGGGTATTGCAATATCTTTCTAGTGTTGGTATACCTTGTAACATTACTGAGGACAGTAACTGCAAAGAACTTGACACTGATATTCTTTGGTAACTGGAGATAGCTAGCGATAGCTACCAGGGAAAACAAAACAGCTTCTCTCTTCCTGTTATGGTTGCACAAAGATTGATGCACTTCCTTTGTGCTGTAAATCGAGCCTTGATTTTACTGGGAGATCGTACCCGTTGACCTAGTGGCAACCTCCGAGGCTAAGAAATGAAGCCAGTCCAGAAGTGCCAAAAACAGCAGTTCCTTGAATGGCCACTTGAGGCTGGCTCCAGAAGTGAGTCAAGGCCCTATAGCTAATTTCAACATTCATGACAACTGTACAGGGGGTGAATTTTTATTTAGCTCACACATTTATATTTTATTAAGGCTAAGAGTTACGCATAATGAGGGGCTTAGCTGCTTTGAATGACAGGCTGTCTGCTGAGTCAGATCCACCCCTTGCTCCTCCACAGCTCCACCTTCTCATCCAAATATGGTCACTTCTGGCTCCAAAAATCCAAGATGTTGACAGCCACAATACCAAACTCGAGGCTTCGAAATGGAAGTCCACAAACCAGTGGGCGATGTCGTGGCAGCTACGCCTGTTTTTTGTATATAGTTAATGACTGATGCTCACTACTAGCAATACAGAGCTTTCAGTCTGCCTGTCAGTTCCATCAAGTGTCCTAGTCCTAATGTTATTAATTACACCTGTGCTTGTCCTGCTGTGTCAAAATGTAAAAAAAAAGCTGTTGTATCCTTACTTTACCTTTGACATCTTTAGGTTTGTGACACAGTTGTACCATATCGGACGTTAATGAATCAGTTTAACTGCAAATAAGTTAATTAATTTAGGTAAATGCTATTTAGCTGATGTCAGTATGCTGCCTGTGGAAGAAGGAAACATTTGGTTATTGTTCCAGTTTGTAACATTGTCCAGGCCTCTTGACATTTAGCTTTACAGATGTGCCTGTTTGGCTAAATGGCTGTGACACACGGGGGCCCTGCTTATAGGCAGGATGGTTTAAAGAGAAAATGGGAAGGCCTGATGACAGAGACAACATAGGAGTTTGTGCAGCTGTTTTACCGTGATGGATCTATTATCCAGCCATTACAAGATAAATGATCGATCCCTCCCACCACCCCACCCCTCTGCACCCTCTGCAAAATTGAAATGAGAACAGAAAGGAGGAGCAGGGGCAGAGGGGGGTACTATGATCAGGTGCTAGGTGAGATGCCCATTAATTTAAGAGAAAAAGGAGTGAGGAGGAAGAGAGCAGGAGAAGAGCGAGAGAAGGGAGGATAGGCCGACCCCACATCGGGCCATCAATCAAAAAGGCGCACGTTGTCTGTGGCGTGATGACCCAGCACTCTCTGCCTCTCTGGCACCCTAATTAGAATTCATAGCAAAATAGATGCAAGGAAACGGTTTGGGCCCTTCATAATTTTATAGGAAATTTATTGTTATTAGAAGAACCATTTGCTTAGTGTGATTTTTCCATTACCAGCTTGTCACGCAGGGTAGATAATATGGTCGAGGAGGGGGAGGAGGTGTATGAACTCCATAGATTGGGGTGTCAGTTTTGTTGATGGTGCATGTAGTTTACCTTGGATCTATGTCTAATGGGGGAAGTTGGTGGAGAATGCACAAAGCCTTGCAGCAGAATCCACATCCTCACGAACAGTGCTGCCTGTAATAGCCTTAGAGACAGGAGAGGCCTTGGGAGAATGCCAGGGGAGTCAAAATTCACACCAATACAAGCTTAAAGTACATACATTCTAATTGACTGCTTTGAGTATGTTTATCTACAGTAGACTGTTTTGGAAGGAATATTAACTGAAAAGACCAGCTGTGTTTCAAAGTGCTGCGAAGCTACTTTAGCATAGATATGCGCAAGCCATAATTTTGTTTAAACTGAACATCAGCCACTGTAAACACTTAGTCCCTATTACAACAGATTATATCCTGTCAGTGATGCACCAATTGTGAAACTCTGTTATACAGTTCATACAGAATTATTAAACAACCTTTAATATAACCTTCTTTCACATGAAAAAAACATAAAAAATAAGTGCTACGAAAGCTTCTTACTATAAATAATGTATAAAACCTGCGTTTCTTATACCTGTTTTATATTGCTGTAAAAACATCATCAAATTTCTCCTTCAAACAGCTGTATTTGTTCAAATTTGTGACCAAAAACTACATTTTACAAGATTACATTTGAACACAGCTTACCTTTACCAAATACTCATTTTCAGCGAATAGAGATTGAACACATCATAATATAACTCAATGCAACCTATGTTAGCTGTTAGTTCTGGCCACCGGCTGCTAAGAGCTAATGTTAACTAGCTTTCCTCCTGCCGACGTCAACACAGATTTGTTGTTCACAATGTAGCATTATCAGGGAAAAAATAGGGTGTGTCCTCTGAAGTGTTAATGGTGAGTTTACTGCATCCTTTTGTCCTAAATGCACCCTTGGGAAGATCTCTGCTCGTGCCAAACATGTTTTCCATTGTGTCCGGGATGCAGATTTGCAAATCCTATGATTGTCAAGGAACAACCCGCCCTACTACTCCTATTATTGGCTAGCACTTGTTGCCTTCATTGGTTTGAGTGGTTAGGTTCAGGAAAGAAGACTGGAATTGGTCAGGGTTAGGGTAAGAACGCAAGGGTAAGCCCATCAGAGGCAAAGTTAGGTCATTCTTTTGCTACGTGAGGATTCGAAATTCATGTTCAGGATGACGGGACACCATTAGTCTCAAGCCCTGTATTTTAGCCTGTACAAAATTGACGTGACACAACAGAATGACATGGGCCACTGCCATCAGTGAATATCATCTTATTTCCTGGTAGTCAACAAGGCGAATATTGGCCGATACGAAAAGTTGGCTGATAAATCTGTGCATCGCTTATTGTGTTTTGTGGATTATCCAGATTAATTTATATTCAACTTTTTTGTTGGGTTGGGTCAGAAACCTCTTTTTTACAGTGATATGACTTGTCACAGTAAGAAAAGCACAGGTATAACTAATGATATTTAGTTCATAGTGGCTCTGTTCCATTTTGATGTTAGATAGTATGTTCAACACCAGGTCCCTGAAACTTTCAAACTGAACTGGAACACAGCCATCGTTGAGCTCATAATGTCTGCTGTGAAAAAGGTCTAAAGAGTTGAGAGTGGCCTTTTGTGTGTGTATAATTTGGCTAAATTTTAATTTATATAAGCATCTTTACTCAAAGCAATTTAAAACAATATTGTGCACAGCTTCTCTAACTCAAATGAGGTCAACTTAGTAATTTGAATATATATGGAAGAAAACTTCACTGAATAGCACACAGATCAAATAGCAAATGTTTGTACTTTATCTGGTTTATCTCAAAAGAGTCCACATATTTACAAAAACTGTTTTATTTACCCTAAAACATGATTTATCCTGCTGTAGATAAATCAAATAAGACTCATTAGATACAGATTCAGAGTAGTGTAGTGTGTGTACTTGTCATGACATATATGTCAATACAGAAATGCTACTGATGTATGTAGAGATAGGCCAGGGTACATAATTGCAAATTTCCATAGAGCTGGGCGATATGGAGAAAATCAAATAACATGGTTTTTTGTTTGTTTGTTTGTTTGTTTGTTTGTTTGTTTTCCATCATTTTCAATACTGTGACAGTGTTGTAGGGCTGGTTGACTTTTAGTGCTTTCACAAACTATGAGTTTTTTGGTGAGTAATCCTCAGTAATGTGGAAATAGTGACTAAGTAGGTAGCAGTCTGGTAAGTTAAGCAAATTACATCACTTTACTGTAATGCAGCCTTCAATTCCAGGCAACACTGACGATATTACGATAACCAAAATCTCGGACTATATCTAATCTCATATTATGACATTGATATAATATTGATATATTGCCCAGCCTTACTTCTAGTAATACTTTCACATATATATGTTTACTTTTACTTTAATTTTAAAAGTCCAGTGTGTATGATTTGGGGGGATATACTGGCAGGAATGGAATATAAATATTCACCTGAAAATTGTATTTCGTGTCATTGTGTTTTTAGTTCCTGAGAATGAGCCATTTATAGCTACATATGGAGTGGGTCCTCTCCGACGGAGTTCACCAAGTTGTTTATACAGTAGCCAAGAACAGCAAACCACACACTGGCTCTAGATAGGGCCAAAGGGAATTTTCACATCGGCCACAAGCGGCAGCCTCCAAGGCTTAAAAATGGAGCCAGTGTGGAAGTGACAAAATCTGCAGTGCTTTGAATGGCCACATGAGGCTGGCTCCAGAAACCAGTCAATTTCCATAGACTGCCATATTTAAGTGCCCACTTTTTCAGCAGAAATAAACATGTTGACAGCCTGGTACAAAAATAGTTTTGGTCTCTACAGCAAATTTCAACATTGATGACAACTGTACAGGGGATGAATATTTTTTAAAACTCACCTGTTCACATTTTATTAAGGCTTAAAGGTATGCATATTTAAGGGTGGAGCTGCTTCAAATGACGGCAGTGGTCACTTCTAACTCCAAAAGCCTAAGATGACAACCGAAATGCTGAACTCTTGTCACACAGAAGTTTCTGTTGGTTGCAATTTGCAACCTTGTCACTAGATGCCACCAAATCCTTCACTAGACCTTTAATGGTTGTTAAGATGTCTTGACTGTCAGCAAACACTTTGTTGCCAGTTTATTAGGTTTGCCCAGCTAAAACTAATGCAGTCTAATACAATAAGAAATCCTCCCTACATGAAGGTTGTAATGTTTGGAGGATGCTGTTTGTGCTGCTGTTGAACTGTTTTGATATACAGAGACGTTTTTCTGTTACTTAGCTTGCCCTCATTGATATAAATGGGTTGGACACAATATTAGAAACACCTCTCAGTAGGATGCAACAATATTTAACACCACCACAAACTGCAGTCTCCAAAGTGACACCTCTCTGAAACTCTGTCACTTATGATAACATGCATTTTCATGCAAGACTGTTGGTATTAAGCTAGCTTTATCATGTAATTACTCTGGTTGGATCTACCTGCAAGTGCTCAAATGTAACTAGAATTTCTGTGGGTCACTCAATAAATCTAACTTCATTCATCAGTGTGATACCATAAAATGCAGTTGTTTGATCCTCCAGTGATCCATTCATCAGTATTAGTGTGTGAATGTCAGAAAAGCTAATCATTGCTCAGATATAAGGTCCAGAATTCTCAGAGAATCTACAGACAGCAGCTGTGCACACACACACATTTCATACACACACACACATACGTGGACACACAATCAATGCAGGCTCATGACAATGCTGATGGGTAAATGCTGTGGGTTCCCACAGGGCCACCGGGGGCCAGAAGGCTTTAATTGGGAAGACCAGATTCTGCTCCCTTTCTCTTCTTCTTCACCCTCGCCTGCCCATGATAATGCTGTTTGCATATTAATACACCACAGTGTCACTCATTCAGTCTCATAGTCAGTCAGCGAGCCAGCAGGCAGTTGGGTGGTGGGGGGGCAGGCGACAGCCAAATGGGTTTTTTCCTCCTACCAATAAAACATAGTTGATTATTGGCTCTCTCAGCTGCTGATTCCTCCTTGTCCTTTCTTTGTCAATTGAACATGAAATGAGTTTTGTACCTGAGGAAAAATGTAATTTACATAAAAATATGAGAAACACTCTCATTGATGGATCTCTTTCACAGGGTTGTGTAAAATAAATGAGTTAAAACTTTAAGTGCAGACGCCCTTTTTTTAATTATCTACTAACTACTTAGAGGCTGAAATGTGTGTATTGCAATCAAAGTGGTAAATTGTGTGTGTGTTCTTAAGTGCATTGATGGTACTTTTTTTGACCAGGGTCATATCTGTTTACTAGTCTATTATTTCTCAAGAGTCTATATAGTATGCCTTTTTTTAAGAGACAAAATTATATGTTAAATTTGTCTTAACAAATCTGCTACTCATCTTTACAACTTCAATTCATTCGAATGTTAATTTTGGAGAGAAATGCATAAAGAACAGCAACAGTTCCCTCATTGGTTTCTCTCTGTTCTTCTGCTTCCCTTCATTTTTTTCTGTAGTTGGTGGCTGGCAGTGTGGTGATGGCTTTTGAGGAGGTGTGTCCAGATCGCATTGACCTTATCCATAAGAACTACAGAAAGCTGTGCAACCTGTTGGTGGATGTGGAGGAGTGGGGCCAGGTGGTCATCATCTCCATGCTGACGCGCTATGCCAGGACACAGTTCACCAGTCCTTGGAAGGAGGTGAGGCACTCATTAAAACCAATGAGGATCCAGTCCATGAAGTGGCAATTCGCAATTGCCTAGATGCCCAGACAAGGTAGCAATTACTGGTCATGTGAACTTCTCAGTTGCCAGAATTATAAGACACATTATTTTAACACATGAAATATGCACTGTCTGTCTGAATCCTGTTTTATGAGTGCAGCTGTCTGATCTTAAAGGACAAGTCTGGTGATACGTCATTATTTAACAGATCCCATTAAAAAACAAAACAAAATCAACAATAAACCGATCCTACTAACAAGTAGGGGTGGGGGAAAAAATATATTCTTGGATGCGGATGTGGACGATTCTGCATTGATTCACAAATGTCAATAATTGATTATCAAAATGTTATCTAAATGTTAGTTAATGATGTGATATTGATGAACGAAGGAAAGAATCAGAACTCAACGGTGAGGGCAGCGCAGCATCCAGACAGTCTACACACTAGAGTTAGCCTATCTTGTCATTTATCTTCAGAAAAGGCAGCAGTTGTAAGCTTGTTTTAATTTAATGTCTAAGTAATTACCTTTGTACGGCAAATGCGAACTATATTGTGAATACTTTGTAATCCACGCCATCACCCAAAGACGAACGTTAATGGAGCAGAGCAGTGATCAGCAGTAACGTTAACAAACGAGATAGACTGACCAACACACACTGCAGCACTAAACAACTTAAAACAACTCTGTGGTGAAGAAAACAACTCTCTGCTCTGTTTCACCTCAAAAAACCCTGTGCCCAGCCTGCTCAGCGTCTTGGCTTTCCCTGGAGGTAACAGTGCAGCAGAGTGGCTACTCTGACTGCTGGAGACATTTAGTTAATAATGCCGCCTCTCCCTGATTTTGTTAATCTCATACAGGCAGGAGACTGAAAGGTACCTTTAGATTAATTTATTCATTAATAATGCAGTTAACTTGTAAAAAAAAAAAAAAAAAAAAAAAAGGCTGTAGACCATTTACGTTAATTGGCATTTATGTTTCATAGTTAGTGTATTTCAGTGTAATATGGACACCAGTGAAGGGTTTGGCACACAGTACATACTGTGTATGTGTTTTTAATATGCTAAAACATTTGCCTATGTGAGATATTTTAGTGATTTTTGGTCACTACGCTGGCATTAATATCCCACAGTGCATTAGTGCGAGCAACCACAGATGAATACAATCCGACTGGCAGCCCCTGGATTAAAGGCTAGGGAATGGAGGCATTTTGACTACTTTTTTTGTGCATCACAATGCATCTGTAATCATTTTATTATCACATCATAGCCCTCTGAATTGTAATCAAATCAAATTGCAAGGTTAGAAACACTTCAATGAGTCACACTGTTGTAGTGGGTGACACTCTCCTTTATTAACAAAGACACACTGTAGTTCATTTCGACTCCTGCTGCCACAAATACCCGCTAGATATCCAAATGTGGATTAATCCTCTGCTAAAAATAGTACCCAAAGAATACAATATTTACCCCTGTTTGAGTAACGTTTGCTGAAAAGTACAGTTCCCAGCTGTTCAAGGAAATTACTGAGCCTTTTTGAAAAATGAAACTATATTTCTGAGCCATTTTTCAAGTTAATATCTGTAGCAGGATCCAATGGACTTGGGCTTGGACAAGCAGGCTTAAAAAGTATTTAGAAATGGTTTATTTTGGTCTTTCCTTGTGGTTTGTTGACAGTACAAAAGAGATTAAATTCCACCAGCCTTATTCTTTATAAATATAATTATGCAGATGGATAAAATGAAATGTGAAATGAGAAAGCCAATAAGTCTTTGTATTCAGTATCTGGATTGTGTTATAGGAGTTATTTAGATTTACAGTGGGGGTGGGTGATGTGGTCAGAATCTTCTATTATGGAAAATGTCATTTTATGTCATGGAGACGCTATGTGTCACTAAGTGTTTCATTACCACACAATATTTTCTTCTTTTATTTGGAACTTCCATACAAACAAAAAACAACTGCCTCATTTAATACAATATTTGAGTTAAAAACAATAGACTCAAATCAGTAAAAATAAAATTATTCCAGAATGAAAGCTTTAAGATTCCAGAGAACAATAATTTCAAGTGTTACATGTCTCTGTATTTACAATATAACTCTCACACTCCATGTCTGCTCAAATTACGTTACCTTGGGGGGCAGCTGGATTTGCAAGACAACATGAGAATCACAAGATCACGTGAGAATCCATCCCTGATTTGCTACATAGTCGCCCCGAATAGCTCCCGTTGTAGAAATGGTTGATAAATCTCTCGTGGTGGCCACATGTCTGCTGTGGCACGGTATATACTGTCATATTGCCCAACCCTAATTAACAGTCTTTGTGTTTTTTAATTATTTTTACACATATCACAATACTGGGTGTCCTTATAAAATTTGTTTCTTGGTAAATGTGGCTCTATAAACACTGTAAAAGGCTCTATATTGTATGAGAGAAATTCAGAGAGTAATTGATTCTTGAGGCATTGAAAAGACGTTACTATAATTTGGTTGGACAATAAAATTGAAGTTCGGGTCATTTTAGTTCACAATAATCCACTAAAAACCTGTTGTTTAGTGTGTTGTATTGTGTTGTTTGTGTTTCAGGGTGCCATGTTTGATGAGAACAATGAGAAGGCGTTCTATGACTCTGACTCTGAGGAGAAAAAAGACCAGACGGAGGCCAAGCCTTACATCATGGATCCAGATCATAGACTGCTGCTCAGGAACACCAAACCTCTGCTGCAGAGCAGGAACACTGCTGTGAGTTAGCTGGACACTTAAACACAGACATATACAGCCATATTCTAGCCATTAGGAGTAGGGGGTGTAAGTGTGTGTGCGCAGCTTTTTAACCTGTCGAGAGATATAAACATTGATCAAGGTTTCTGAATGTGGCCTTTGCTCATATCTCACCGCTGTCTTAGAGATAAAAGCTACACTAGTGCTGCTTCATGGACGTACATGCACTTTCAAATTCACTTTCCAGCATTAATACATTTCAAGATACCTTTCCTTATACAAATACACACACATACCTGCCATAGTGCACCCTCCAAGTTAAAAAAAAAAAAAAGAAAGATAAAAAACATAGTGAGTGCAGATCTCCATCACCCAGGAGTCTCAAGGTCTCTGTCACTGTGTAGCAGCGGGAGGAAAAATGCTCCCAAATGAAAGTGTTGATTAAAATGTGACATGCTGTGTCTTTTACACGCGACGACACAGTGACATCCTCCATCTTCATAGACGCCTGAACCCTTTCATTCTGCCTGCAACGATGGACACACGTCCGCCTGCTATTTAAAGCCCCGCTGAAAAATTGCCTTTATAGAGTCGTGTCATGAGTGCCTTTGTGGAGCCCTAAGAGATGCATGTGAGGGAATCTTATTTTAGCTTGGGTAGGCAGGTGGTAATATACTGATGGTAGTGTAATAATAATAATAATAATAGTACAGCACTTAAAAGTTATAAAGTGCTTTTCCGAGTGTTACAAAACATGAAATCAAGGAAAAGTAACAAAGTTCGAGAGTAAAAAGCTGGGAGCATGTTATGGAAATTTTTTGAAAATTAAAACAAACAATGACTGAAAAGCAAAGACATTACCCAGAAGCAGTGGTGGTGTTTGACTAAGTGCATGTACAAATTTGAGGTACATATACTTCCCTTCAGTATTTCCATTTTCATACATCTACTCCACTACATCACAGGGGGAAAGATTGTACTTTTTATTCCACTTCATTTGTCTGACAGCTTTAGTCACAAAGGTGAAAACAGGCCTGTTATTCAGACACCATAAAAAGTTGAATTTTTTTTAGAGATACTCGTAAGACAGCCATGCAAACAACATGATGTTTTTGTAGAATATGATGCGTTGCTGTAGATGAAACTACTCAACAGTATATAAAGGAGCGAAACATAAAATGAGTGAAACATTACATTTCATTCATTAAATGAGCGAAACATTGTGCTAATAACACTTACATTATTTAACTCAGCTAAGGTTTTTGATTGCAGGACTTATTATACTGGAGTCTTTTCAGTGTGGTATACTTCTTCCGCCTCTGCCTAGAAGCTCGACTGTAAAACGTTTCAAGAGGGATTAAACTAAACAGATAATTTAATCAATATCCATCTGTGTTTGGTGTGTTTTAGGTTGTGATGGCTGTTGCTCAACTCTATTGGCATTTGGCCCCCAAGCATGAAGTCAACATTGTCACCAAGTCACTGGTTCGGTTACTAAGAAGCCACAGGTAATGCAAAAGAAAGCTGCAGATCCATATGTGCCTTCTCAGAGTTCACTGTATCTCTGCATCCATGTTATTCATGTCTGAATATGTCGCTGTCTTTCTCTTCTGCTGCACAGAGAGGTGCAGTACATTGTGCTTCAGAATATAGCCACGATGTCCATTCAGAGGAAGGTAAGTCTGCTTCTGGGCAGCAGAACAATAACTGTGTCTTGATGCACTGGCACAATCTGCTGTATTAACATAAATTATCTCCAAACAGGGGATGTTTGAGCCCTTCATGAAGAGTTTCTATGTGAGGTCTACAGACGCCACACACATCAAAACACTGAAGGTAACTACCAATTTAAGTTTTTGTTCAGAAACAATTTCACTCTCTGTGGTTTATTATCTTTTGAGAAACCTGTGAAAAACGTCTACAGGAGAAATTCAGGTTTGATGATGTGTAGAAAAGATTGTTGAGAAATGCACAAATTATATGAACAGGGAGTCTGCACAAAAAGATGATCATTTGAGTTCAGATTAAAAGTAGAAAACTGCATGACACTCAGCACCCCAAAGTTCTCCCACTATGTGACACTGAAGTTACACACCCATTTGACTTAAAAGTACAAATTATGCTCCTGTTTTTCACTGTAAAAGCAAAACCACAAGTGTGGGAACTGTGTGTATTGACTTGGACGAATAGCTTCCTGCTTTGAAAATGAGTAATTTTAGCCACATATTTTCTGTTCTTTTCTATACCTACAAATGTTTTCTTCACTTTCACTAACTTGAATTTCTCCCGCAGATTTGTCACAAGCTTACAAAAGCTTTTTAAAAGCTTTAAAATAATTTTTGATCACAGTTTCACAAGCTCAGAATCTTTAGTTCAGCTACCTCATGCAAAAAGATGGACAGCAGAGATACTGGGTGCTGAGGTGGCTCCGCCCTCCCTGTCAACCCCACTTATTCTGTTTTGATTGCACCTTATCATTTTTTAGAAGCCTCACCATTAACTGTTGACTCTTGGCATGTGTATATTTTGAGTTTGTACTGCAACTTCTGCACATCACTTCCTTTCTTGATGAATAAAGTTTTGTCTTTTCTCCTATCTTAGTCTTGAGCTCATACTGTAACCAGCCTCTGCACTGTGATTTTTGTAGTTGGAGATCCTGACCAACCTGGCCAATGAAGCCAACATCTCCACCATCCTGAGGGAATTTCAGGTTTGTGTTTTGTTTCTTAATGATCCTCCAGTTACTGACATCAGTATTTCTTGGCATTACACTTCCCTATTGACTTTCAAACAGTTTCTTCTCTTCACTGTCTTTGTCTTGTCTCTTTTTCAGACCTACGTGAAGAGCCAGGACAAGGCGTTTGCAGCAGCCACCATACAAGCCATCGGCAGGTGCGCCACCAACATCTCCGAGGTGACTGATACTTGTCTCAACGGTCTGGTGCTGCTACTTTCCAACAGAGACGGTAAAATGCCATCAGTCATTGCAGATATCTGACTGTTTACCCTCATCAGTATATTAAGGTGCCAAGATTGGCCGGTGTGTTTTATCTTTACAGAGACTGTTGTGGCTGAGAGTGTGGTGGTGATCAAGAAGTTGCTTCAGACTCAGCCCACGCAGCACAGTGAGATCATCAAACACATGGCCAAGCTCTTCGACAACATCACTGTACGATTCATCGTTGTATTGTTCCTACTGTTGATCCATTTGTGTTTGTTCAACCTGAAAGTTTAGGCAGGAACAAATAAGTGTTGTAAAGAACTCTCAGCAACTGCTGCTCTTTCTCTTTGATTTGTCACACAAACCTGCAGGTCCCCATGGCCCGAGCCAGCATCCTGTGGCTGATGGGAGAGTACTGTGAGAGGGTGCCAAAAATTGCACCTGACGTGCTCCGTAAGATGGCAAAGACTTTCACAGCAGAGGAGGACATTGTCAAGCTGCAGACTGTCAACCTGGCAGCCAAACTCTACCTGACCAACTCTAAGCAGGTACAACATTAAAAACCATATTTTCACCTGAACATGGAGCAAATATGATGCTAAATTAACGCCACCGATTTCTGAAATTGAAATGTTTTAATGGAGACCCATTATGCTCATTTTCATGTTCATATTTATATTTACATTTTGGATCTCTACTAGAACATATTTACATGTTTTAATGATCAAAAACCACTTTCATTTTCTCATACTCTATGCTGGAACACCTCTATTCACCTTCTGTTGAAGACACTCCATTTATTTCTGTCCAAACCCGACCTAAGTCTGAGGAAGTAGTAACTGAGCCTGACCTGAACCCCACAGGCATTCTGTTTTTAATGTTTGAATTTAACTTAAGCCTGACGCAGTTAATGTGAGGAAAACACTCCACTCTGGTGCTGCTGCTGAAAAACTGAGGCAACCCCTTTTACACTGCTCCACCCATTTCCTTGTGTCATTTTGAAAATGAATCAAAAGGTAACATAGCGAGGAAGCAGAAATTAACTGTACAGAAAAGTATGAAGGGCCATGTCAAGTAGGCTGAACTTGACCTGAACATCGTTTGGGAATATTTGTCTGAATCCGGCCTTTTGCGCACAGGGATTTCTTTTCAATTCAATTCAATTCAATTTTATTTATAAAGCCCAATATCACAAATCACAATTTGCCTCACAGGGCTTTACAGCATACGACATCCCTCTGTCCTTAAGACCCTCACAGCGGATAAGGAAAAACTCCCCAAAAAAAACCCTTTAACGGGGAAAAAAAACGGTAGAAACCTCAGGAAGAGCAACTGAGGAGGGATCCCTCTTCCAGGACGGACAGACGTGCAATAGATGTCGTACAGAACAGATCAGCATAATAAATTAACAGTAATCCATATGACACAATGAGAGAGAGAGAGAGAGAGAGAGAGAGAGAGAGAGAGAGAGAGAGAGATGCAGGTAATGACAGTAGCTTACAACAACATTAATGAAAGTAATAATATTATAGTTATAGTTCTGGCTACTGTGGTACAATATGTTGAAAGTATATATTAATATCTGACAGTATACTTGTGTGACAATAGTCATATGTGTATAATAACAGTAGAAGTATGACTAATGACTAATGATGGCAGCAGCAGCAGGAGGCATCTGGCAGGACCACGGCAGCAGCACAACCACACACGTCACGCTGTCCAGGCACCGCTGCGATATGAGTTAATCTGAGAGACAGTGGAGCACAAAGGCTCCGGAGAAGAAGCCGAGTTAGTGACATCCAGAATGGCCGAGTTAGCAAGATGCAGTAATAGGATGAGTGAGAGAGAGAGAGGGAGCCCGGTGTATTATAGGGGGTCCTCCGGCAGACTAGGCCTAAGTCAGCCTAACTAGGGGCTGGTACAGGGCAAGCCTGAGCCAGCCCTAACTATAAGCTTTATCAAAGAGGAAAGTCTTAAGTCTAGTCTTAAATGTGGAGACGGTGTCTGCCTCCCGGACTTTTCATATGTTTACCTCATTATATTGAAACTTTGGCCACATTTATCATGGACGTCTTCTTCTTATTCTTCTTCCTCTTTCAGCTGTTCCCTTTAGGGGTCGCCACAGCTAATCATCTGCCTCCATCTAACCCTATCCTCTGGATCCTCTTCTCTCACACCAGCTGACTTCATGTCCTCTTTCACTACATCCATAAATCTCCTCTTTTGTCTTCTTATCATAGATGTCCACCATATAATTTTATAAAAATGGCAGTCAATAAGGAAACACATCTCCCCTTGTGAGAAAGAGATAATGTGGTTCCGTAAATTGTCCTTTTAAGTATTTTTATTTCACAAGACGTAGCATTGTCTTGTAGTAATTGAACATTTCTGCAACTCAGAGCTAAATGCTCAGTTTAAATATAAAGCTGTGAATGAGACAGCTTTAACGTAATGGAGCATCACTGTGCGCAGCTTGGTGTCTACAGGCCCATTCAGCGAGATGGGGGTGATTTTGGCCCCTGAGCCAGGTTTATGAGCCCAGACGCTGCCTCCTCAAACGAGCACATCATTACACCTCTTGCTCCTCGTAATGTGTCGGGGAGGAAAGAGAAGGAAAGATGGGGGAGACAAAGACAATGCAGAAAATGATTTGGGTTATAATGCTGTCTTCACGGCAGCAGTAATTTTTGTTTTTATGCCTGCTTAAATAATATGTCAGTGCAAGTGCTCTGTCTTGTTCTTTTGGGCCAGATGAGGAGTTTTTCACTTATTCAGGTGAAATAATAACCAAATTATGGGAATGAAGAGGACATGGGGGGAGTTATGACAATCCTTGCTCAAGTGGTTGTCCATGTTGTAAACAGGGCTATATTCCAGCTTTATGGATTTATGGGAATGGCAAGTAATAGTTCAGTGTTTTTGGAAATATAATTGTTTTTCTTGCCAATATTTAGAAAAAATATACAAATAAAAACAAAAAAATAATAAAAAAAATTAGATAGAAGAAGTACAAATATTTCTCGAGCAGCTAGTAATCACCGATGTTCAACTTTTATCTTGTTTTTTTTTTTGTTTTTTTTTTTTTTTAACAATACATAGCGTTTTTCATTGGCAGAAAAGTGGTGGCAGGTTACAGGGGAGTGCTTCTTCCCAGCTCTTTACAAAAAAAAGTGCTCCCATCACAATTTTAATAACGCACTGGGCTTGGATTTTGTTTCTGTGACAACAATATGTTGACATTTATATTAGCTAGGTAGCTAATAAATGGTTGACTGCACGTTAAACAGCAAGCTTAAACTGCATACAGTAATAAAAGCATAACACTCACCCGCAACATTGAGTATCCCACTGATTTGCTCACACAAATGGACTTTTCTGTCTTTCTTGTGATAATTTCATAAAACTTGTGATATACACTAGCTCAAGGAGCAACAGTGACGAGAGCAATGCCTTTTAAAAGAATTCAGAGATTCTCAGCTTGAAATGTCCGAAGCAGACGCACAAAACAGTGGAAGAGCTCTGAAAAACGATACTGGCCACATGCGCTCTCTCCTCATTGGGAATGATTGAAAAATAGGTGCTGGTGCTGAAAAATCCCCCACTGTGGGCACAGGCTCTAAAGATCATGCAAACAGTGACTGGGGGCACTGACTTGGTGTAAACTTGGCGTGCTGACATGAGAGCTGTAATAATCATCACCAAGCAAACAAACCATAAACCACCAATCGTAACTCACAAATGCTTACTCTTATCCTTTTCTGCTGTCTTACATGTTGTTTTACTTTTCCCAGACCAAGCTGCTGACCCAGTACATTCTGAACCTGGGCAAATATGACCAGAACTACGATATCCGGGACCGAACACGCTTCATAAGACAGCTCATAGTGCCCAGTGAGAAGAGCGGCGCCCTCAACAAGTATGCTCGACGCATCCTCCTGGCCCCCAAACCAGCCCCAGTGCTTGAGTCTGCTTTCAAAGGTAATTCATACATTTGTGATATCAACCTCTTTGGGAACATATTAAATCCTCTAACTGGGCTGAATATGTAAGATTAAATACCATTTCTCTCTTATTCTGTAATTTATCTGAAGCCAATCACTGATTTTATATTAACTGGATCTCTATTTCACATCTAGTGGCTCTGTTTCCAGTAGTATGCAAAGTTGATTCAGGCAGTAGTTTTATTATTCTGGTGTGTCTGTCTCTCTGAAGGGCAGTTAGGTCAGACCCCTTTACCTTGGACTAATGAGATGGGTAAATTATTGAGCTAATGCTAACCTTTTTCAGACACTCAGAGGGAAAAAAAAAATCCCTCTCATTTAGCTGTCTCTTCTCTCTCTCTCCCTCTCTTTGACAAAAGGGACAGAAACTGCCTCCTGCAACATTAAAATTCAGAGGCAGTTTGCACCCTACTGGATGTTTATGGAAAGTGTTAACCACCCCTGTCATTCTTAATATTCACGACTCACGTCTTTCTTTTTTTTTCTCTTTTTGGTTTGCAAAGCAGAGTTTTTAGAGTGCACCTCCCAAGGCACAGACACTGATTACCTTCCTGTGTTGACCACTGGGAGAGAGAAGAGTGAATGTGTGAGAAATGATATTAAAGCATGAGGGTGCCAAGTTTTTATATTAAAGCTCTCTCTATGTATACAGCAGTTGTGGAATGTAACTAAGTACATTTACTCAAGTACTGTAATTAAGTACAAAATTGAGTTTTTCATACTTTACTTCAGTATTTCCACTTTATTCAACTTTATACCTCTTTTGTGCAACATCAAAGAAGCAAATGAACTTTTTACACTCCACTTCATTTGACAGCTTCAGTTAGTTTTCACACACTTCTGTTTGAAATAAACTAAATGACAAAGTATTTTATGTGTTGAGGAAATTCTCCTCCTTCTTAAGCTAAATAAACTCTTATCTTGGATCAGCTGGAAAATGCATCGTCACAAAGCTGAAAACAGGGCTGTTTTTCTGACATTGTGAAAAGTTGACTTTTTAGAGATATGTGGTTCTCACAGGACAGCCACACTGCAAACATATGATGATCTTATAGAATATGATGCATTGCTGTAGATTAAACTACCCAGCAGCAGAGGTGGGACCAAGTCATTGTTTTGCCAGCCACAAGTAAGTCTCAAGTCTTTGCACTTGACCTCCGAGTCAAGTCCTAAGTCTAAGCTTTGAGTTTTGAGTCCTAAACATATGTAATACAACTCAAACAATGTGTTTCCACTGAATTTAATGCCATTTTAACAACATAGTAAAACTGTATTAAATTTACAAAAATCATGAATTTTTCAGATTTGTAGTTTGTTGAAGGTTTTTGCATTTCCATCTGTGATTTTCAACCAAAACACCTTGTGCATACCGCAGCTAATTTTTTTGTTGACCACTGAGTAACTTTTGTGCTGGAAAGAAGTTCTTCTTCTGCAACATGCTGGTCCAAACAAAGTGCTATTGGGAAATAAGGTGCTGACTTGCTTGAAATGAATTGTGTTAATGTTAGTTGATTCAGAGAATGAAGGGATTCATGGCACACTGTTGCTCGGAGGACAGTATCAAGTATTTTCAAGTCAGAAGGGTCAAGTCCAAGTGAAGTCACGAGTTATTGGTGTCAAAGTCCAAGTCAAATTGCAAGTCTTTCTTTGATTTTTGTCAAGTTAAGTCATTGCATTTATGACTCAAGTCATGTCAAGTTCAAGTCATGTGACTTGAGTCCACATCTCTAAGAGTATATAAAGGAGTTCAAATGAGCACAGCCTTAAACATCTACAGCAGTTAAATGTAACATATGCATTAATGCAGCTGTAATAATAATGATAATCCAGAAACATCAGATAGAATAGGAAAAGACTGACAGGGGACTTTTTACTGCATAAGGAGGACTTTACTAAGGTTTTGAATGCAGGACTTTAACTTGCAGTGGAGTATTTTTAGAGTGTAATAGTACTTTTACTTAAGTAAAAGATCTGAATACTTCTTTCATTACTGGTATGCAATGACATTTAGCCACTGGCTAAAGGACAGACTGAGGTGACTCATCCCCTGTCTGTCAATTTCTCCACCACTGTTGAAACTTTCCTTTCCTTTTATAGGTCTTTTGTTTTCCATTTTTGAAAATGACCTCCCCTTTACTTTTCACAACTCTCAACTTTTCAACCCAGGGCTTTTTTTTTTATTTGTTTGGTTTGTCTTTCTTTTCTCTCTATTTTCCAGATCGTGACCGTTTCCAGCTGGGCACTCTCTCCCACAGCCTCAATACTAAAGCTACTGGATACCAGGAGCTGTCAGACTGGCCAGCTGTTGCTCCTGATCAGTCTGTGAGGAACGTGGAGGTCATTGAGCCAGTAAGGAATCCACCTTCCTTTTACACATCATACAGTAGTTTTACTTCCTATGTGCCTAATTCTAACTCTAAACTGTTTATTGCGTCTTCACTCCCAGTGTCTCTGCGGAGTGACAAATGCATTGTTCTGAAAAACACTGACAAGGTGACACTTTGGTTCCCCATTGTTTTGACATTAAATTCATGGGTAATAGTACAAAATGTTAACTTTGTAATACTTTGTCTGGCATCTGTATGGTTAATACTGTTATGGTTTATAGAGCTGCAACAATTTGTTGATCCCCAGAAACAATTTTGATAATCAACAAAAGTTCAGTGGCTCCACCTTATCAACTGTAAAGATATTTTTGATTTTCTTACAATGTGCTGACATTTTTTCATCCAGACAATTAATCAGTCAATCAATAAAAAAAGTGATTGATCAACTTAGTTGGGCTGCAAGTGGTTTATTACAAATCAAGTGCTGTTAATGGTGTTGTTCCCGGCAGGAACCTCTCATCAGAACACTATTCCATTTAGATGTCATTTACATTACAGAGGAACCTTTCATCTTTCATCATGTTTTTAATGGTTTAAAAAGCAAAGCACTAGAAGCTGAAAATAAAATATTAGGTAATGAGCATCACACTTCAAAAGGCCCATTAATAATCATGTATCAACATAACACTAGAGGTCATGACCATCATCACTCACAAGCACTTGTTCAACACTACTTACCAGATGAAGTGCCAGGCTCAGTTGGAGTTTGACTATAACAACGAGGCTTTTTATTATATGTCACTTATCCAGGGTATTTACATTATACAGGATGATGATCTTTTCTTAATATGAGGAGGGCACACGGCTTTTAGAATATTGAACCCGAGTTATAATTTCTCTAGAAAAATGCAGCATGCCCAAAAGAAATTGCCTAAACAACTCATTTGCACCAAAGTTAAAACACTTCTGATGCCCAAAGGATGAAAGGCAGAGCAAATGTATGTGTATAGCACCTTTCAACAAGAAGGCAATTTAAAGTGCTTTATGTATGACATAAAAAGGCACTGAAGGTAAAAGGCTAATAAGAAGTATTTTCTCTGGGTCCTAAGCTTGATATATATTATATTACCATGCCCTACAGCTCTGACAGCTTTTGAGTAACTTCGTTAAAAGTAGGAATTATTGAATGTTTAAAAGTAAATATTTGCGACCCATTTTTCAAGATTTTCCTTCTTCAGCAGGCACCAGTGGGCTCTGAGCTGAGAGTGAGTTACAGACAGGGAAGTCAAAAAGTATTGAGAAACTGGCTGACACATTGTAGGTTTAGATCTTTCCATGAGATTTGTTGACAGTAAGAAAAACATAGAATAACACCGACAAGTTATAAAATAAACACAAGCAATATAAATAGATGCATATAAATTGTATTATAGAAATGAAACAGAAGATGAAAATAAGCTAAAATCTAAAACACAACACTAACAGTAAAGCGAAAGAATGAGTAACCCCTAAATTTGATTTTGTAAGAAGCAGTGGCGATCAGATGTTTTTAGCCTTGATTTTAAAGAACTTGGAGTTAGCAGACCTTGACATTTTAGCTGCAGTCTGATCTCCCATTGCACACTTACTTGGTGTCAAATTTACCAACCTGCATGGTTATCATTTTCCAACCTGATGTTGTGGGAACCTTTGGTTTGTGTTGGAGAAATTAACATTCATTCCTCTGTTTGTTTCATTCCTCTGCTCATTTAGCTCAAAAACAAGACCTTTTTGTGCCACATAATAAGTTTAAGAACAGAAATTATTAAAATTAAAGGCCATTGTTTTTCAGGAAGGGATAATATTGATTTTTTTTCTCTGAGCAGCTTTATCATCATTACTTTGTGGCAGCTAATGGGGATCCTAATAAAACAACAATAAAGCAGAACACAAACGGTCATTTCAACAAACTTTAATTCCTAGTTTTAAATATAATATATTGCAGAAAAGATATGTGGTAACATGGGAAATCTGTCCAGGACAAAATAAATAGTAATTTAGTTAACTGTCTAATTCTATTGCATCTTATTAAGGTGATGGAGAGGTACACAGTGGGCATATCCTCTATCCAGCTCTTCACAGACTGCTGATGGCTAGATGCTTTACTCTTTACTTTGTGTGGTCTGTACTGTATGTATGTTTTAGTGATAATGCCGTAATGAATTAATTGATCTCACTTTCCTCTGCTATATCTGTTTAGGTACAAGAGTGGGCACCGACAGTTGGGAAGGCCAAGAAACCAAAATCTGATGACAAGTTCTACTCTGATGAGGAGGAGGAGGAGGAGAAAGAAGAGGAAGGCTCTGAGAGCAGTGGCAGTGAAGACAGCAGCAGCAGCGGCAGCAGCAGTAGCAGCAGTGAAGGTGTGTTTCTGTCTTTGCATCTAATAGACAGATGGTAACAAAATGTGATGCTGCTGTCCAAATGGGATCGTGTATTAAATTTATAATCCTTAAGATTTCTGTCCTGCTTGAATTGGTGATAGCCGTGGTCACTGGTGGTAACAGCAATTGCAGGATTTCTGTGGGCAGCAGACGCTTGTTGAGCAGCTACTTTTTCAGAAATTCAACAGAGCAGCAACTGCTGTATCCATTTACAGTGCAGCCAAACAAGCTCACATAATTTAATAAAGAAGTCTGCCAATAATTGTCCACTTTCTGGCAACTTTCTGCCATCTGATTTCATGCTGCACCCGCTGCTTGTAGTTTTCCACACAACATCAAAGCACATGGGAGTTAGTTACCCTGTTGAGGAGTTGTCAGGTGTGTTGCTGCGACTTGTACTTCCTACAATATTTAGAAATTATTAAAAATGACCATGTCTGGTTTTAGACACATTTTTGATTTTGCTTTGTTGTGGTGAGCTGGTCCATCTTAGCTTGCACATTAGACTCTATCCCACTGGCTATTTTACTACCGCTGCTTTGCAATGCATATATATGCTGGTTACCTTTGCTATTGGGATGATGGCGTTGTGTAAGTGTAGCGCCCACTTTCTGGTTACCCCCGGTTAACACTGTTAGCTCTGTCAACCCCCTTCATGTTGAAAACCATGTCAGAAAACTCACACGCTCTGAACTATGCATAGAGCCCCTTTATAGCAGTTTGAAACCTATCAGCTGTGACGGACCCCGCCACTAACAATGATAACTACTTTATAGAGAGATAAGTATGAATTATAAAAAAAAGTACACTGTATGGCTTCTGCTGAAGAAGTTCTGGCCATAAAAGTGATCAAAAATTGGGTTTGCATTCATGAAAATATAAGAATATAACTTTGATTCCACAGGCTTGTGTTTGATATCCATACTGTGTATGCTATTTTTATACAGAGTCTGGCAGTGAGATTGAGGAAGAAAGCAGCGAAGATTCAGAAAAGACCTCAGGTGATTCTGGAAAGAGTTCCAGTGAATCTGAATCAGAACAAAGAAAGAAGAAAAAGACCAAGAAGGCACCGCAGAAGAAAAGCAAGCCAGATGTTGCATTCAGGTACAGTTAAACCCCTCTGGCCTCTAAGACTCTGAAAGTATCATTTTTCTTCCCTGTGAATTAGGTGTGTCCAGATGTTACCTGTTTCTTTCTTAGCTAATCAGACACGTGTGTGTTGGTGAGAGGCACCAGAGTCGTCGTCAACAACAAATGTGGTCAGTGCTTCGCTGCATCAATAAGCTCAAACCCCCATCTGTTCATGACTTGAGTCATTTTAATAATCTATATGACAAGTCTCCTTCTGGCATCATACTTACTTTTTTCAGTTTGCACTTCATCCAGTATGTCTGACAGTAAAAATCTGCAGCTGAAAAGAATTTTGATTCTTATACTTGATGCACATTGAAAAAGATGAAACACAACCCAAAATAAGATGCGAGCCATCAGTTATTGTTATGAAAATGTCTGAACAATTCTCCAAGCTAAGTTAAGTTAATTTTTGTGATTCATTTGTTTTCTGGGTTTGATTTTCTGATAAATGATATGTGGCAAGTGGCAGTGAATACAGCACTGTTAAGTTACTTACTTGGAAGATCCTAATGATGAAATTTCACACCACCACAGTGTGACAGTTCTAAAGATAAGAGACAATAATTGACAAATAATAATTAAGTCATAATAATCATGAAAATAAAAAAAAACTCAAAACACTGTCATCTGCTCATGTTCAGATGTGTTTTTTATTTAGAAAATAAACATTTTTAAGCTGAAATTGGAGAGTAGAAACACATCTGGTTGTGTAGACTTTGTCCAAATCAGTTGCTTAGTTAGTGTCGTTAGTCGCATTAGGACTCTTAGACATTTATTGTCACCACTGAAGTGGGACTATTAAACTTTTCATAAATACAATTGAAATTTTGGATATGACAAATACATGTACGTCTCAGACAACAAACTTAAAGGAATACTTAACAGTCCAAATGATCATTTGTGTAGCAGTTACACACCCCGCAAGATCCTTCGTCCAAAAAAACCTTTTTCTTGTCTGTCTGCCTGCTCTGAATGAAGACTCTAAAATCAGAGAAAATTCTTGATAAATTGAAGTCATAGGGGTCCAACAGCAAAACTATATCAAAACACGACGTGCACTTGCTGAATTCGAACTAACACTTTAAAACACAGAAGTTACACAAAACACAAACAAACTTTAACTTATCAAGGCAGCATTAGACCAGCAGCTCTCATGTTCAGCAAGGTAAAATTACTGTTTTTATAAATGGAGTCTGACTTTGAAGGGAGCATAGATAAGTTTCACTTTTAGTTCAATTCTCCTTTGGAAATGTAGTCTGGGAATTAGTGAGCATACGACGAGAAAACAGAGACTTGGATTATCCTGCACAAGCGATGTGACAGTTTTAAATGGATGTTTTGATATAGTTTTACTGTTTTTATATGTGGATCCCCATGACTTGAATTCATCAAGAATTTTCTGCATTTTTGGATTCTTTGTTTATTGGAGGCATGTAAAAAAAACAAAAGTTTTCTTCAAGAATTCAGTACAACACAGCATGGGTAATTTATGAACCAGTGATCATTTGAAGGGTGAAAGCTTCCCTCAATGTCCTTTTGAACAATGAAGTTCAACAGGACCAGACTACGGTGTCTAGAGTCCTTTAAAAGATGAAAAACACGAACAACCAAAGCTCTGACTACAGATTCACTAAATTTAATCCAAATCTGTGTTTTCAGATAAAAGAGAAAGTCTTACCAACTGCCTTAAAGAGGGTAACAGTATAGTCTGTGAGCCATACACACCATTGTACTGTATGTACACCTTCTCCCTCTCTCTCTCTCTCTCACTCACACACCCACACACACACACACACACACACACACACACACACACACGCACGCACACACGCACACAGACACATCAGGCTGGCAGAGGTGCTAGAATATCGTTAGTGTGAGTTCCATTAACAAGCTAATCAAGGAGAATTTTCCTCCAGTAGCGTAACCCACATTTACATGGCTAATGGATAATGACTTTTGATTGGTCATTTAGCAGCCTGGTGTTGCCAATGAATGAGATTTGAGTCATTACTACTGAATATGCTCACGTACACTCCTCTTACACACTGGCAAATTTAGTTTCTTATGCACTCTACTCATTTGCTCACAGACACACAAACTCACACAGAATATACCTGATTTTGCTGTGTGACAGGCCGCCGGCTGACCCTGTTCTCTCCATTAGAGAGTATAATTAGAGCAACTCACCCCAGTGCTCAAACACACACGAACGCAGCCACGCACACACACACATGCACACAGTAATTAGAGCAGCTCACCCCAGTGCTTCCACAACAAACACAGCATAATGCCCTCATTATGGCCCAGTCATTTCAGGCAGGGCCTAATCAGGCCCACAGTGATTTATATCACTTTTTCCTGTTCGCAGCAAATGAAATCTGTAGGCCAAATTAATACTGGCTTTTCATCATCGCCCAAGTTAAAAAGCCAGTTACCGTCACAATTCCCCTCATTAATTTAACGGCTGAAAATCCCAGGCAGGCGGAGTAAACACTCATTATCGGGACAAATTGAAGAGGGACAGAGCAAGTGAAAGAGAGAGGAGAAAGATGGAAGAAATCTTTTTTGAGTGAATGCAACATTGAATTAACTTCACAAACAAAAACAGATTGATCGTTGATCTGACCAGCCATGCTTAAGCTTTTAGTTTGGATTGGAAAAGAGAAAAAAAGACATTGAAAAGCAAAAATATATTATTTAAGATATTATAAGTTTGTTTTGCCTGATGGATTCAAGACTATTTGTTCAAACTGTGTACATGGAAGCTGTGTGTGTAGTGTGAATGTTGTGGTAAAAGAATGGTTTGTGAACAAAGAATGTGCAGTACTATTCTTTCCATATATGCATTCTGTTACTTGTATTGATAACTTGTCTGAGGCTTTGTTTGCTGGTCTTTCGTGTTTCAGTGACTCGGATGAAAACGGAAATGGACCTGTAGCACAAGCCAGCAGCTCGTCAGCTGAGAGCTCCTCCGGCTCAGAGACAGACTCCTCCGATGACTCTGACTCAGACACACCCACAGCACAACAGAAGAAGAAGAGTGATGTGAAGTCCAAACCCAAGGTAAGATTTTTTTTTTTGGTTTCACTTGTTAATAACAGTCACACAGTCATCTTTAGTTTGGTACTTTTACAGAGTGTTCTGTTTTTTTTCTTCGTTTTTTTACAATGTAGTAATAAAACACGAGCATAAAACATGGGGTATGTTTCATTTAAGATAAATAAAGAGTTGAATTAATACATTTAAACAAAAGTAGGTCGTTTTGTGGAAAATATACATTTTCCACTTCTTCCAAATTTAATTTAATTTCCGGAAGTTTCACTGAGAAGGTGATTCTATCCATTAAAAATATTTCATAGATGATATTGTACCAGTTCTTTATAGATGAGGTGTCTGGCTAGAGCCATTTCTTTGTAATTGCTTCTCTAGCAAGTCTTTTGTTGAAAGTAAAAGACCCGAAAGGAGTTTATCCCATTTAAATCTAAATTTTTAATAATAATATAGTCACTAATTCTGTATAAATCACAGGCCAAAAAGCATTTACATTTGGACAGGCCCAAAATAAGTGGTAGTGATTGGCTTCCAGGGAGCCACAATTCCTCCAGCAGCTGGAAGAGCCTGAGTGATGATTCGTCTGAACAGGTGCAATAAAATATCTACTTAGACTCTTCCAGCCAAACGGTCTCCATAAAGTTGAGCCTTTCATTGAGATTCACAATATTTTGTCCAGACTTCCTCTGGGATATAACTGTTAGTTTCCCTTTTCCATTTTTGTTATATTTACGTACTTGTTATCATAATCTCCTAAAGTTATATAGTCTTAAAATTACTTGGAGCTTTGTCCTACAGGTGCTAATAAAAACTTTAAATAAGTTATTTTCAAATGCCTTTAGACTCTGTAACATACCATACTAGAATTTATAAACTCCATGCAATGCCTTGAAAAATACCAAACATTCAGTGCCATGTTTGATACCACAAGGACAAATTGAAATTGAGGACATACATTTTATTGAAAGATAAATATAACAAAGCTATAACATGACAACAGCAGCTTTTCTCGTCTTAGTTAGTAGCAGAGAACAGGAGAATGACTTTAGTAATCCAGCTGGTAGGGGTTTATTTTTATTGTGGAAAATCAGTATTAAAGCCTTTTCAAATATTCAGAATTGATATGTATCTATAAATTGACATTTTTGAAAACACAGAACTGAGTAGCACAACAATTTTTTAATAAACAGCAGGTTGCAGACCAGAGTGAGCTATCAACATAAAAAAAAGTCATACAGTTCCTCCCCAGTACATCATGCTGCATTCAAAAGCCATTTTTAGCCAACAAGACTTCATTATGACCAATTTTGAGATTGTTTCCTGTAGTGCTGCCCAGAATATCAGTTTTTGGGCATTGATTCAGTGAGAAAAATTGTGGATTAACCAAACCTTTGATGGATGGAGGGTTGATGAGAAACAAGGACAGAAGTCTAACTTTTTGGAAACATTAGTTTTCAGTTGATGCACCTAAACTACTGATGTTTGACAAGAGCAAATAAGAGTCACTAAGTCACTAAGTTTAAATGTCCTTGTCTATACTTGAATACAGAATAACTTGAAGTAATTAATGTCGAAGCATAATGAATAATGTTGGATTACTATTTCTTAATTCATGGGCTATTTTGGATTTTTGTGTATAGTATAAACAGAGCGTTTGAATACTGATTTGGACGTTGATTACAATGGCAACGATCGAAGCTTCAAAGCATTCGGGTCAGCCCTAGTTTTCAGTCATGTGACTTATTGGAGATCTTTAAACATTTTCTCATGAACACCTACACATACCTAAATGAAAAAATCCAGCACATGTATCACATAATTGTCTATTGTTACGTGCATTTTGATTTATCCAGAAGCTATCTCTGCTTAAACTTTTTTGAACATTCCCTATTATAAATATAACTGATTCAGGAGATGTATGGGCTTGGTGTAGGTATAAACACCGAGTAGTTTTTTAATGACTGGCTTGGTTAGACAGCTCCAAGAGACTAGAGCATACTACTGCTGAAATACACTTAATAATCCTAGATGTTAGATAAGACAACGAGTGAGTATATTCCTATAAGCTGAACTTTAGAATAGCTGATACGTGGCTATTTTATTCCATAAAATGATGCATTTTACAACAACAGTCATTCTTTATGTTGGTCTCTCCTGATAGCGCAGCATCTGGATGTCCAATATTATATAAGTAGAAGAAACAAGTATGCTAAACAATATATTGAAAATACATGTGTGTATGCAAAATATATAGTAAGCTCATATGTAAGTATATGGATGTTGAAATAGTTACTGGTCTGCATAATGGCCTTTAAAGAGCATTTATGTTGTAAGACATGTTGGGGTGAATTTCAACTTCAGTATAAAAAACATTAAAAACAGAATCTGTTTATATAGATCTCTGAGGCCAAGGCGGCACACTGCATGCTATTCCATTTCATGCATGCATCATACTGTAATGCATGTTTATCCCTGAGCTAAGCTATTCTGCAATATGTCATCTTTAAACCAGTGAAGAATCTTTTTACTGATATTATTGCAAACAGGATTAATGGAGAAACTATTGTTGTGGCCCTCTTCTGTTTAACTGTATAAACACCATGTTCTCCCAGGGAGCTCTTGTTCCCCAGACACATGTGGCACGAGCAATGAAATCACTATTTATATTGTGGAATATAATTCTGCTCCTCTGTTATCAGCTTTATATTTTTTCTCCTCAAGTTGTTCATTCGTCCCCTTTTTCAGCCCTCACCATCGTTTTCTTACCTGTTATGCTCATCGCATTATATCTCACCCTCCCTTTCCTTTTCTGCACTATGAAATTCTCATTTCATACACTTTGTCATTTGGACATGGCCTATGAATTATGCATCTTTCTCTCCCTCTCCTTATACACACCTCTCTCTCTCTCTTGCTCTTTCAGACCTCCATTTACTAACAAGGTTTCCGTCTCTATTACCGCCACCAAGCGTCCATCAGAGAAGATCTGATAAGATACGCCTTCTAACTTTATTGTTTGTTTTCACTCTCATTCCTCACTCCCTCCTCTGTTAAGTTTTTTTTCCCTTCCTGTCTGTTCAGCCCAGAGTATGCAGAGTGGAATTTTATGGTTCTTTATGTGACGTGAATGGAGCCCTGGTTGGTTAGGAGGGTGTGGAGAAAGGGTGATAAAAGCGCTCGTACGTTTAAATGCGTTTTTATTGGGCCTGTTGTGGTGCGAGCTAGTGCCATGTGTTGTAATTCCCACAAGTCAACACCTGACAAGCCCGCCTCAGTCGCACGAGGTGGTGTGTATCGGTTGTGACACGATACCATGCTTGACTGATCATTGAAAATTCCAGACATGTTGCATATCTGTTTTTGGGATGAATATGTCATGTCTTGAGAGACAGCGCCCGCAGAATTGAAACATGTCACCCACCAAAAAGCACAACACATAATTTCAGTACTTTTGGTTTGAGTTGACATTTTTCTGCCCTGTCCCCTTCTTCGGTGTTGCTCATCATCATGTTGCTGTGTTTGTTTTTAGGTGGAAGTGAAGCCCAAGAATGAAGTGTCCTTACTGGATCTAGATGACTGTGAGTTTATCTGCACTTTACTGCTGTACATTACTTAGTTTCCAACATTTGTCACCACTTCACCCTCCGCTCTGTTTTTTTTTCTTTTGTTTTCAACAGCCAGCAGGCTACAGAACTTGTCTAATAAACAAAATGTATTCTACCACAGAGAGTTAACAAATTCCTGGAGGAGAAAGTTGAGCGTCTTTCTTCAAATAACCCAGGTATTTTTCTCTGGAGCTGAAGGAGCCCTGAGAAGAAGAGAGTCAATATGAGTGTGAATGAAAGGTTTACATTTGTCAGTTGGCCACAAACACAGATCCAAATGAATACCAGTGTTGCTCTGTGTCAGCTGTGTGTGCAAACAGGCAATTTATTGTGCACTCTCCAAATTAGTTTCAAAGGCAGTGGTAGGCAAATAGCGACCTGTAGGCCAAATTCGGTCCTCCAGCAAACATGTTTGGAACCCTGACAGAAGGTTACATTTTCGGTTTTATATTCTACTTTAGAACTTTGACAGGGTTTTTCTTAAATACACTAAAGATAACTACAGAAATAAAGGCTTGTGTAAATCTTAAAGAAAAGCCTGGCCTTTAATAATAATCAGCATCTCCATGTGAAGAGAGACATGCAAACTGTGGCTACTGTGCCTCATTCTGTACCAAGCTGTCCCAGTTATTAAGTGCATGGTGCTGGATTGAACCCTAATAAATAATCCAGATAAAGAATTTAATACCCTGTGATTTCAAATACAGTTTTAATTCCACAGGTTTAGTCTGTTAGACTGCTATGTATTTGTGTTTGTGAGATGTAAATCTGTTGTGATCAAACTGAAATCACACGTTGATAACATTATTAATAACATTACTGTAGTTCAGCCAGTCCATCAGTGAAATCTTCTGATGAATTTTACATAACATCTGCTACTGTAACTCTGTCACCACTTACGTATTAACAGGAAAAATGCCTTCAGATAAAATCCTCAAACTGTTTTATAAATACGTTTATTTTTAAAGGGACAGTTCACCCTCAAATCCAAAATACATATTCCTCCTCTTACCTTTAGTGCTATTTATTAATCCAGATTATTTTGGTGTGAGCTGCAGAGCGTCAGAGATATCCGCCATAGAACTAGATAGGCACACTGCTTGTGGTGCTCAAAGTGCCAAAACAATATATTTGAAAAAAAAAAAAGGTTTGTTCTCATAATAGCAGGAGATGTAAACATTCATGGTGCCCTCCTCGACTGAGCTGTAATGTTAGCTAGCTCACTGATGCTAGGTGACCTAGCAGTAGATGCACTTTTCATTGTGACAGTCATACGGTTGATGGATGGATGTTGGTGTGTAGAAAAAAAATACTTCGTATATGAAACTGCACACAACAAGGTCTGTGGATTATCTTGAGTAACAGCGGCAGACACAACACCTGCCGCAGCAAGCTAACATGCAACCTGCGGTAATTTTAATTTGACCAGCAGACTTCACTTTGGTGATTTGACCAGCTGAGTCGCAGGTGACACTATCATCTTGCTTAAATGGAGCTCAGACCGGCCAGTTCACACCGCTGCAACTTTTCTCTGCAGTGTTCTAAAATGGTTTCATCTTATTGTGAATCTTTGGTCTGAACTGAGCTGTAGAGAAAAATATGGGTTTTTTTTATTTTTGTTTGAACTGTCCCTTTAAATGCATTCAATAAGACTGAACCAAAAATATGTATTTCCAATATATACTGAAAGCATACAGGCATGTGTTATAGGATGATAATATATTAGTTGATATGTTTCCAGCTTTATCCACTGCCCCCAAATGGTCAGAAAAGCAATGAATAAATCTTTAAAGCCACTGCACGTAGAGATTGAAAATTCTCGTCTTTGGCGCCCCCCAGTGGCACTATTAAAAAAAGACTCTTTGATAGACACTTTTACAGCAATGCCACCACTCCACAGAGGCTTTAACAAGCTCAAAGTGCCTGTTTCCGTTTTCTTTGTGTTGTTTTAGTTTCTCCTGCACCCACAAATGCACCAAAGTCTTTGATCGTCTCCCGGAGCCTGCTGTCTGACCTCGAGGGCCTCTCTCTTTCCAACATCTCCTCCACCATGCAGGTTCGTACTCTTGTGTGTGTGTGCGCGTGTGTGTCTGCATTATAAAACACACAGGATGACATTTCCTCCATCAACGTGTGTTGAGAGTCAATCGTTCCTTTCTGTCTGACACTGACAGAACAGCAGAGCAGCATATGAGATGGTGAAATGAGCCTCTCTCCCTCGTGGAACATTTCTGCTCCAGACGCCGACTATTGACCTTTTCTGCCTTCTTATATTTATAGCCAGTCAGGACGGTACAACTGCTCTTCCTGTTTCCTGTATCTCTTATAGTCTGTCTTTCTCACCCTTGCTGTCTTTTGCTCTTCCACACCCTTGAACTCTATTTCTGTGTCTCATCTATAAGTCCACCCACTTTGTTTCTCTCCCCCTCTCTCCCCCTTATCTCTCTCCTCCTCTCTGTCACCTTCCATCTCTCTCTGTCAGATGTTGTGTCCCTTGTGTCTCGGTGTTGTGTATATCTGATGGTTGACCTTTCCTAGTGTGATGGCTCCTTTCTCTCCTCAGTGTGTGAGCCGCTCCGCATGTCTGTGTATTTTGTATCTTGTCTTTCCCCCCGGGAGGGAAATGTCCAGACCATTCTTTCTGCTGTTTGCTGTGTCTATTTTGTGTCTCATAGTCAGGTCTGTGGTAACTCTGCAGTTTGAAGATTTTAAATCAGGAAATTTATGGTGATTTTTGATATGTTCAGCACTCACACAGGTGTTTGACCCATGCTCTTATTTTGAAATTTTGTTTTATTTCATGATTAATGGTTAGTCATGCAATCATTTAATTGAAACCTCAGGAAGAGCAACAGAGGAGGGATCCCTTTTCTGACAGTTAGATGAGAAGATCAGTGTAGCTCTCATATATGTAGGCTAAATATGGAGCTACAGCCAGTTATCTTATATTCACATTAAGACTGGAAGAAAGGGGGAAATAGGAAGCTTGACTTTGTCCAAAGGTAATTCAACCTGTCTACAAGCATCTCTAAAATTAAAGTGATACTTGATGATTTTGAACCAGCTTTGTTTCATAACAATTTGGTAAGTGTGTAAATGAACAATTGTACACTTCCCTCCATCTTAGCAGCGTCCAGATCTCCCAGCTTATCTTCCAGTTTTAAGTTGCTGGATAAAGCAAAACTTGTGAACAGGAAGTGGGCACCATACTGATTCCTGTATTGTAAAAACGGAGGCTGAAAAACTGAGATTGATTGGTAAAACTAAGCAGTGCTGAATCCAATATGAAGCAAGATTCTGTCACTGTGTTGCCTATTTCTGGGGTATAATGTTTTTTAGAACATATTTTAGTTTACAGTTTAACTGTAATATGAGTTTTTTTTTCTACCAGCTAGCCACCATATTGTTTCCTGTGTCAAAACAGACAGGCTCGCATTACATCAACCACCAGCGCCAGCTGTTATAGGTCTGGTGCGGTGCAGTGCGTTCTGGTAGCTATAGGTTTTCTACCTCTTGAGCAAAAGCGAATGCCATAGCCTTTTCCCTCTGTTTTCTCTGGTCATGTAACACCAATATCTAAAGTATTTACGTCTGTCTACTGAATAGACAGCCCAGTTTTATGAAAAGACCATGTTTCTAGCAGTAAAATACCTCTTTAATTTCCTGCAAACCATCACAGTATAAAAGAGTAAAGACTGCTGCTTGCTCTAGATACATTCACAGACTAAATGAAGGTTGTGTGGTGTAAAACTTAGGACATGATATTAAAGATGCTTTAAAAGTGACTGATTTCTCTTAAGTTTGTTTTAACTTTTTATTGTCAACACTAAGTTTGGCTGCATGTAGACAAATGTCTTTTCACCAGCTGTCTGAATGGCCTCTCTGCTGTCCTAGCTCTGGTCTCGTGCTTAGCTTTTGTGGTAAGTTACTCTATATTCCGAGTCTGCCCGTCAGTCCTGCCCGCCTGTCAGTCAGTATGATTGACAGCTGCTCTCAGGCCAGCGTTTATGCAGTCTTGTTAGTCGCTCTCTCCTCCTCAGGTGAAGGCCATGGAGTAATAGAGAATAGAAATGCAGATTAGAACAGGGAACTTTTTGCGCATCAACATCTGATTTAGAGTCAATTCTATGCATAAATACATGATGGGCATCGGGATTCATAGACAAGGGTAAATAACCTCACCTTTATTCACACTCCCCCCTCCCTATGCATGCACACGCTTACATATCAGCGCACGCTCTCTCTCTCTCTCTCTCTCTCTCTCTCTCTCTCTCTCTCTCTCTCTCTCTCTCTCTCTTTTACACACACACACACACACACACACACAGTGGCCCCAGTGTCATTTCTATTTCTCAGCAATCTGCCCACAGAGGCAGCGAGTCTGTCTCAGCTGAGCGCTCGGGCCCTTTTAGAGAATTACTGCATGGTTATCAAAGGCATTTAGATTAACCCTGGTCACTGTCTTTGACCCACCTCCTCTTCTGTCTCCTCCTCCTCTCCCCAGTTTCTGCATGCTACCGCTCTCTCTAATAACATTTTGACATTAGGATCTCTCACAAATGCCTCTTAAATCCGTCCCCCACCCCCCCACCCTCCCCAAACCTCTTCCGACCGCTGTCCGTGTGTGCGGCGGGGTGGCTGAGGCTGATAACTTTTCATTCATAATTAGCAGTCGGCGAATGGTGCTGCTTTGGGGGGAAATTGAACTGTCAGCGGCGGGGCGCACGGCGTTTGACCCCATCACGCCCAGAGGGGGCCATCATAATTTGTTCATTTGGTGTCCATCAGGCGGGCGCCAGCTCCCCCCTCCTCCTCCCCCCTCTCCCTCCTCACCCCTCTGACCTCCCATAGTGGGCGCTCTGGGTTCACGTCTAATTATGAATCAGCAGAAGGACCCCGAGCGCCACGAATATAGCAGCCCTGCCCTCCAAACCTCCTGCTGCCACTCAAACTGCAGAGATTGCCTCTTAAATAGGAATAAATGCCCACACAGAAAGAGCTAGTCAGTGCAGTGGCCTACGCAGCAAGTGGAGAGTTTGGGAAATGTTTGTGTTTTAATGCAGCTGTTGCTGCATTTCTTTTCTTATAAGTTGGTTTTTGGGACTATGTGAGGACAGATTTTTGTGTGTGCGTGTGCGCGCACGTGTGTGTTTTATGCATAGGCATTTAATTTTTTCTGTTTTCTTCTTTTCGTCACTTATGTTTGTCCTTTTCCAAGGTGACAGAGGTCATGATGCTGATCCCTAAAAATCTTGATTATCATACATGATTTCATTGTCTGCTGCTTCCACTTGTCTCAACAAAGCAGTTAGCTATTTAATTACTGTAAGCAGGTGAATTAGGGTCTTAACCATTTATTTTGAAATTTATAAATAGAAATATCCACCATATCCACACCTACATGATCAGTTTAATGTGGTATTATGCAGCTTGTTTCTTCCAAAGATTGAGGGAATATTCAGATCCTTGACTCAAGAAAGACTAAAAGTAGATAAATAAATAATATATTTTAAAAATGCATTTAAAGTTTAACCTAGTATATGTGAGACAGAATAGAGATTGCTACTCAAGATTCAAGATTATTTTGTCTGGCTTTAAGAAAATAAGACTTTTGGGACTCAACAATGGAATGCATCATATGTATACTGGTATATTTTTATTGGAGATGTTGTCAAGATGAAGTATGCAGTACAGAAAATGGAAATATTAGAATAAATACTGGTTTCTTTCATGTTCTGTAGCCAGTGTTATTGTAAGTATAACGTACCTTCATCATTTACAAGTGAAGTTAAATACTGTACATTGATAATGATCTTTGAGAGTAACAGGTCTCTTGTGATTTATATGTTTAAAAAAATAAAGTCCATTAAAATACTGCTAATTTAAATCTTAGAAAAATACACATCTTTGGAAATTTGATTGTGAAGTCATTTTGTTAAGCAAAAATGCTAAAAATCACTGGTTCCAGCTTCTGAAATGTGAATATATTATGTTGTTTTTTTATGACAGTAAGTTGAATATCTTTGGTCTATAAAATAACCAAAACCCAAGCGATTAATTGATTGGTTTAGAAAACAATCAGCGGATCAATTGATAATGAAAATTATCATAAGTTGCAGCCCTACTTAAATGTTATGCTAACATAAAGAAACTGTTGGCAGTTTGTTAACGATATTTGCAAAGCTAGATGAAGGACAATAGTGTTTCTGAATAACAATCCTCTATTATTGCTAATGTTCTTTAATGGAAAACTTCAAAATTAATCATTTTAAAATACCTAATTTACTGACAAATTGGCATAAATGAAGTAACCTCTGTCTATATGCGCTGGAGAGACTTCTTGTTACATTAAAGTAGTTTTAGATGGCTGTAGTAACATTTATTTAATCCAATTTGCAGTCAAGGTCTTTGTGACGCCCCTCAATTAATTGTCATCTCCTGACTGAGGGGAACAATTAGGCCCTAAAGTCAAACACATGTCCCTTACCTTAATCCTCACAACTCTTGTAGAGCATAATGAAATCCTGTCCCTGGTGTTGGAGGCAGACGGTGTCTGAAAAACAGAAATGGATTTTCAATATATGCCCATACGTCTCTGTACCCCCCACACCACTTTCTTTTAAATTGGCCCTCTTGTGCACATGGCACAAGGCTACCCGGCTCCAGTTAGCCATTTTTGAATATGTCAGCGGGATTTTCAGGTCATTTGCTGGGAGCGTGGCGTCCGGGCTCTGAAGGTGACTGGTGTCTGTGTCATCCATCATGGGAGCTTCCTTTAAGTTGATGCATAATAGAGCCTCTCAATCAACTTCCTCCCTCATTGTCACCTCCCTCCTTCCTGTCCAGGGTGGAGAATGCGAGCCAAAGAAAGAACAGGAGACTGACAGAGAAGTCAAGGTTACATCCCTCTTCTTCTTCTTATTTACACTTGAGGTGTTATGGGCTTGTGCTGCGTAACAGGACAACAATGGATGGGAGAGTGAAGGGGCTTGTGTGGGCACTTGTGTCAGGCTTTAACTGTCCACTGTGTCAAATTGGTGATAATAAGCAGTTTGAAGCCCCGTCCTGTCTCCTGTCGCTGCCGCCTGCTAGGTGGCGAGGACGACAGACAGGACCTTGAAGCAGGATGCGTCTGTCAGGGAGGTAAATCTCTGTTGTGATGGGGTGGCAAACATTATGGCCAGCTTTATCGACACCGACTGCTCTGACACATCTAAAAGTGGCCCAATAAATTTGCAGGCTGGCGGTGGCGTGACGGGCGCTTGTGAGGGCGCAGTGGCGTTACAGCACAGCAACAAATGTTTGTTTGACCTCCTTCACAGGCGTGTGGGCGGTCTGGGCACAGGAGACACTGCTTCTCTGTCAAGGGGACTGAGAAATGGTGTTGTTATCAGACAGTTAATTCTGTATCTAATGTGACTTGGACTAGCTATTGTTTTTAAATGTTTTATGCTGGTTCCAGTATGATACGCAAGCCTATTTGTCCCTACCAAAGACTTGCATCTTTAAAAACAGATGACAAAAGTTGCCAGTTTATTACTTTAACCAAGGAAAAATAATACATTGACTTTAGAGGCTGCAGAAGTTTATTTTTTTTTGTCTATCCCATTGATATCAATTGGTATGTTTTACATAATCATATTACACAGAGAGTCCAGGTTATGCAGGTAATCAAGGAATCCATTTACATGTTATGTAGGAACCTAGTTTCTGTAATGCTTACACATGCAGCAGGTCAGTATTCAGACTTCTCCCTTCCTATTTACCAACTTTATTTTGGAACCATGTCTATCTTATTTAATCTGTAGTAGTGAGAGAGGACACTGGTGGTCCTGAGGATATACAGATGGATATATAAACAAAATGCAGCTTCTCCTAACAACATAAACAACACAAAGTGTTAGATGAACAAATATATCAAATGTTACAGGGTGAACTGATTTACGTAGACTCCTAGTTTTAGTTGGACTTTAGATGGAATTGTATTCATACAACGATGCATCGCTCCATGTAATGATCTCTCCTATCATTCAGCCACTCTGCTGTTAATTGTCCCTGTCTGCAGTCTTTCGTCATGCAAATGTATATTTGTAAAAAGTCAACAAGAAATCCGGTGACCTGTATACAAGGCAGAGAAATCAGTGTTCTCCAGGAGAAATGTAGCTCAGGGAAATCAAGTCTCCTTGATGCCATTCAGATGGTGTCAAGAAGTTGAATCAATGCTGTTTCAACAAAAACTGAACATTATAACCTTCATGAAGAGAGTATTCATTGCAGGACTCATGTATTAGGCTGTGTTAGTTTTAGCTGTGTGTACCTAAAAAACTGGCAACTGAGTGTATATTTCTTCATAATTTTTTTGGAATATTTTAAAGGTATACTATGGGATATGGATTGTTGGATAATGTTTCTAAACATCTTTACCAGTAAAAGTAAAAGCAAACCCCTGATTCTCTCATTTGGCGTTTCACCTTGCTGAATTTGCATATTTAGACACTGAGTCTCTTGGATGCCTGCTGCTTGCAGTCTGGCACCTGGTCACTATCTTTTTATAAAGCTCTGATCTCACCTGAGTGCTGTGGGGGAACATGCCCATAAATTTCCCCAACACAGACAATTAGAAAATAGAGACATAGGGTAGAGTTTGCAGAAAAATACACAGCTACACACTATTAGTGGGTCATAAGTGATGATTTAGAGGGATTACTTCTGCGATAGTCTGAACATATTTATCCGGGAAATGCTGCATAGTATACATGAAGGTAATTTCTTATAACAAATTGGCACTGTAATTTTAAGCAAACACTAATGTGGCGCACCTTCACATTTTCTATAGTGCAGAGATTGACTAGTATTGGTATATCTGATCAGGCAGTGGGCTTGTTTGTGAATTACCTCTCGGAAAGGTCTCAGTGTGTTCAGTTTGATGGACTCACCTCTAACTGGCTCAACACTTGTGATGGTGTACCCCAGGTTTCTGTGTTAGGTCCACTGTTATTTTCAATTTATATTGATAGTCTTGGTCAAAACGTGGATCGTGTCAATTTTCATTTTTGTGCCAGTGACACAGTGATATATTGTGCCGGCTCAGCTGACACGGGGGCTGGGGCCAAATTGCAGGCTGTCCTTAATGTTATTCAGATTCAGCTTTCACAACTAAAGTTGGTTTTAAATGTTGATAAAATGAAGGTAATGCATTTCTGGAATGCTAGGGAAAAGCCTATGAACACTCCAGATGTTGTTACCGCTCAGGGAAAGAAGTTTGAGGTTGTCGCTTGTTACAAATATCTCGGTATTTGGCTTGACAGTTCCCTGTCTTTTAAACCACAGATTGATAATCTTCTTCAAAAGCTGAGGCTGAAGTTAGTTTTATTTAAAAAACAAGTCTCGTTTCTCCTTTGGGGCCAGAAAAAATGGTTTTACCAGTTCTGTATTTAGGTAATCTGTTGTACATGAATGCATCTGCAGATTGCTTGCACTTGTTAGATACTGCCTACAGTAGTGCACTAAGATTTGTTACAGATTGTAAAGTCCTTACTCATCACTGTACGCTTAATTCCAGCGCTGGTTGGTCACCTTTGACCCTTCATACATTTGTACTTCGATTGAACAGAGATCTGACTGTTGCTTTAGTCTGAGATCTCAAGATTTAGTTTTGTCGTCTGTTCCTAGTGCACGGACTGAGCTGGGAAAGAAAGCTTTTATGAACCTATGTGAATTGGTCTCTGCCTGATTTTAAAGCTCTCACAAATACAAGGATGATTGCATCATCTGGTTCTTGTGATTGTGCGTATGTTTTCTAATATTTCTACCCTATGTTACCCTATACCCTATGTATTTTATTATGTTGCTGCTGGCTGTAACTTTTTCTTATGTTGCTGTCTTGGCCAGGTCTCCCTTGAAAAAGAGTTTGTTGATCTCAACGGGACTTACCTGGTTAAAATGGGTCAAATAAATTAAACTAAAAGTACATTAGCTTTATTGTTCTATACATACAAGCAGTGTAGGGAGGAGGGGCCAAGTTTGATTGTTGTGTTGGGGTATTCCATTGATTTTACGTATGAAGGTCAGTTAATTTGTCACAGAGAGTGCTTTGCATACATACTCATTGTCTTTACCGTGAACAACAATACAAGAACTTGACCTAAAAATATTGTCTGTCTAATGAAAGAATAAGCAAATGGAATTGAAGACTCTTTCGCAGTCATTTTTTTGTACTTTGTAGGTTTTTTTTACATCGTTGTAGAGGCCTTATGGCTTCATATTGTATTACTTATTTTTGGGTAAATTTCTAAGTACAAGTGGTATATCTAAGCTTTTAAACAATTTAACTACCAAACTTGGTGTTGTTTTCATCATACAATACAATGGCAGTGAGTGTTTTTTCTCACCCTTTAAAGTAAACACATTAAACTCATCTCCACTGCTCTTGTCGTATGTCAAGGCAAGTTTTATTTTATTTGTCAAACTGATTCTTCATCCTCACACACATCACATGACAAGTCGTCAGGAGGTTGCTGCGTACATTTCTCACTATATTTGCACCATTGTTGCCTCTGTGTCAGCGTAGGTATACATTTAGGTGCTAAGTGTTTCAGAGGGTGTGAAAAGGCTTTGTTCATCCTGATATTTTGAACTAATTAGTGCCATCAGTCAAGGCAGATGGACCTGAAGAAACTACTCAAAATTGTCATACTTCTGTGATGCTTTTCATTACTTTGAATTGTTAGGGTGTGTCTGAAGTTTATGGATGTAATGTGAATGTTCTCATGTATGACAGTGGAATACATTTAGTGCGTTGTGTTGCGTTGTGTGGGCCGACCCACCTTTCTTTCTGATGACAGCTGACAGTTGCTGCCGTGAAGTGAGAACCAGAAAGTGTCAACAATATTCCTCTAAGTAATTGGATGTTAATTTTAAGGAGAAAGGAATACAGCACCACATCCACACCCTTTCTTTTCTATATCTCTCAAAGCTAATACAATTTCCTGCCTCTGAAAAGGTAAAAGCCCCTTTAAAAAGGCCTGCGAGTGGCGGGTGTGGGCCATGCAGGCACTTGTGTTTCTATTCATTAGAGGTTGTTTTTATTCAGCCTGGTTTGACCGAGCATCCAGCCCATTTCCATCTAACTGGGCTGATTGAGGACATTTCTTAAATGGGCTCCTCTTTACCCCACAGAGGTAATGAAGGGAGGGTTGGTGGGGAGTTATCGTCCAACCCTCTGTCCCACTCCACTCAGAAGTGCTGCATTCTGCCTGCTGATTGGACATGCTGAATTGCATGAATATAGGTGATGAAAAGAGCGGAGATTCTTGTATTAATCTGTCCTCTTGGGTGGATGCATTTGTACTGTAATGCACAAGGCATCCCTGGATGTGATGTAGAAAGCTTTAGGCTTCTGAGCAGTGTTCTGCTTGTACTGTTTTTCTCATCTTCCTTCTCTGTTTCTGCTCTCAGGCTGTTGTTTCCTGCAGTGCTCAGTTCATAGATTGATCCAGTCCATACTGCACTTTATTTCTCTGATAATCGAGAAGTTTGGTGTATTTGTCAGTCTTGTTTTGCAATGTACAAAATCACACCTAGAATCAGAGGTTGTTGAGGTTTATCCCTCCTCTTTTATGTGTCCCTCTAGGTCACCACTCCATCTTTTGGCCCCGTGAAGACCTATGAGCTGCTTCACCATATGACTGGAAAAGGTCTGTCAGCCAAGTATCATTTTCCCAGGCAGCCCTGTTTGTACCAGCCCAGTATGGTGGCTGTACAGGTCACACTGACCAACAGCTCAGACCACAGCCTGGAGGAGATTCATATAGGAGACCGAAGTCCAGCAAGCCTGAACATCCACTGCTTTAATACCATTGGTGAGTATGAGTACCACACACATAAAAACACTCCAGGAACACCAGGTAAATCCAATATTGTTTATTGATTTGTAACATTGCCAGCAATTGTGATATTAAAATTTAAGGCTGGTGATATTTTACATTTGTCTTATTGTCAACAAATCCCATGAAAAGATGAAAAACCAGAAATTAATTGATCTACTTACAAGCATTGGGTGTATATATCAGACCCAGATGATTATTTCTTCTCTGTGCCACACCATATAGTATTTTCAATTATGAATCATTTGATCATCACCTCTGTGTCTTAGATAACCGTAAGTGACAATCACCAACGTGACAAACCAACATTGTAGCACGATTTTATTTTACTTTTATTTAACCAGGAAGTCGCATTTAGGCTGAAAATCTCTTTCACAAGAGAGATCTGGCCAAGGTAGAAGCCAATCAAAACTCATTAGAATGCAACAAATACAACATGTAATACGACAACCCACAATAAAACAACAACTATTCAAACATAGTTGGCTATCAAGAAAAACAGGCATGTCTCTATCACCACATTCTTTATGATGCCCTTAAATTCATCAATGGATATAAGTGTTTCTAACTTTAGATCCTTTTGAAGATTGTTAATGCCCATCGTGCAAAGTAGGAAATTGCAGTTTTCCCTAGGTATGTTAAAACTCGGGGTATATTAAAAAGCAGCCACTTAGAGGAGCGTAGCTGGTAACTACCAGGGGAACTGCCCATTGGTTCGACAGCCCATTGGTTCGACATCCCATTGTTCCGACCATATTAAACTCATTGTTCCTAAGTCCGTTCCTAAATCATCATGATGCCCTGTGGTTAAGGTCTGGTTAGGTTTAGGCACAAAAACCACTTGGTTAGGGTCAGGAAAAGATCATGGTGTGGGTTAAAATGAAAAAGAAAGTGACAAACACATAAGCCGTGAGCCTGCTCCGCCTCAAGCCGGTCGCGGCGCACCATACGCCCGCCGCGAGCTGTTCAGCACCGCGGACAGTCGGACTAATGGGATGTCGAACCAATGGGCTGTCGAACCAATGACATGGACCCACTACCAGAGCTGACACACAGAGGGATGCAGAGGTAGGCTGGAAGTTTGCTCAGTATTGCTTTATAGATAAAAAATATACTAGTGCTGTTGTCTGTGAGTGGCCAATGATGTCCAACTCACCAAATCATAAAGAATGCAGTGATGAGGAAGGGACTTTGCATTTGTAATAAAATGTAGAGATGCATGGTATACTGAATCAAGGCTGCATAAAATCGAGGAGGATGCATGCACATACAATATGTCACTGTAATCAGTCACAGACAGAAAAGTAGCTTCCACAAGGTTTTTCTTAGCACTGAAAGAAAAAACAAGATTCATTTCTAAAATTAAAGCCAATTTTCACTTTAAGCTTCCTAACTAGAGTAGCAATATGTACATTAAATGAAAGCCTGTCATCTATGCTAGTGTTTCAGTCGATATTAACACTCTTACATTGCTTTAAAAAAAACAATTGATGACTCTTAACGTAAAAATACAGGACAAAACCAAGCAAAACGTAAAAAACAGCAGTGAGTGAGTGAAAACAGTGGTGTGTATTGTAGCCCCTATATTAGCGGTCAGCATGGTTTATGTTTGTGTGTGTCTGTGTGCACCAAGCGAGGAGAGGGAGGCACTGTGTCTGTATTTGGAACAAGCAGGTGAGCTGGACATCAAGTTAGCAGTAAACCATGAATGTATTTGAGTTACAGTTTGTCACAACTGCCAGACCAGTGAAGCTATATTAGGGGTGCATAGAAAAATTGTCTTGTATGCTTTGTGTCATCTCTTCGGCTCTTCTGAACAGCCTTCAAACTATTTAGAATGACTAGACCGATAATGATCGTTAGCCGACAGAGCGGAGCACCCTTACCTTTTAGTATCCTTGCTCATCTTTGACTGTGGCTGCTTAAAGTAGAGATTGCAAGTTAATGGCGTATGCAGGGATTTGTAGCAGCTGTGGAGCACTGCTGCTACATCCATATAGGGGAAACATGTTATCACATTATATTATAAAAGCAGACATTTAAAAACACATCTATAGTAAAAGGTGTGGGCACCCCTGGTCAAAATTTCATTTATTGTGAATAGTTAAGTGAGTAGAAGATGAACTGATCTTCAAAAGGCATGAACACGCTTTTCAACATTTTAAGCAAGATTGGTCTATCATTTTTGTTTTCTACAATTTTAGAGTGGAATAACATTAAAGGAGCGCAATGCAAAAGTTTGGGCACCCCAAGACATTTGAGCTCTCAAGACAACTTTCACCAGGGTCTCAGACCTTAATTAGCTTGTTAGGGCTCTGGCTTGTTCACAGTCATCGTTAGGAAAGGCCAGGTGATGCAAATTTCAAAGCTTTATAAATATTCTGACTCCTGAAACCTTGTCCCGTCAATCAGCAGCCATGGGCTCCTCTAAACAGCTGCCCAGCACTCTGAAAACTAAAATAACTGATGCCCACAAAGCAGGAGAAGACTATAAGAAGATAGCAAAGTGTTTTCAGGTAGCTGTTTCCTCAGTTCTTAATGTAATTAAATGAAATTTTGACCAGGGGTGCCCAAACTTTTGCATGCCACTGTGTGAGCCATACTTTTGCACTGGGTGACATGTTCCTTCATTATCATTTAATACACATCATAGTTCATTTTGACTTAATCCCACATACACCATCCTGTTGCCCCAAACATGCAGTAGACCCAAATGTGGATTAATCCACCACTGAAAATAGTCCTCAAGTAATGCACAATTTACTCTTGTTTGAGAAACATTTGCTAAAAACTACAGTGCTCAGCTGTTTTAGGAAATTATTTTTAAGAATGAAGTATATATTTATGACCTGTGTTTAAAGATTTACATCTTTCCATAGGAACCACCAGACTTAGAGTTTGAGAATCACAGACAGGATTGGGAAGTCAGAAAGTACTGAGAGAAAGGCTGCAAACACATACTGGGTTTGGGCCTTTAAATGGTATTTGTTGACATTATCAAAAGTATAGAACATAGCCATCATTTTGGGGATGTAGTTTCCTAATTGTAAACCATAAATCAAACTCTCTGTTGTTGACCCAGCACTACTTGTAGGAATTTCTCCCATCTAATGTGCCTCACTGTTTTAAACGTGTATTGCAACAACAGTAGCCGCTGTGTACCAAAAAGCTATGATAACATTGATGAAACCATGTCATCCGATACTTCATGGAGTATTTATTCAGGCTCCTACACAGACATACAACGCGAGTTGACAAACCGCTTTCCTCACCATGCTGGCTGTTTTAACAACGTAGGACTGTTGGGGAAGGTGTAAATCGAAAAATCTTGTCTTTTGACAACTGACAAGTGGCTCAACCTCACACACCTCATCCCTCTCCTCGCATCACTGCGCCACTAACACCCGCTGTAAGCGGCCAGTGCCAGAACACATCCGCCAGCAAGGGACATACAGCCCCGTCTTCTGCGTTTTTGTTGAGAGCCAGGCCAGCGCTGTGTGACTGAGAAGCATACAGCATAACGCTGTTAGCTGCTGTTAGCGGTATATAAGTATGTCCCTTGCTGGCGGATGTATTCTCAAGATGGCGAAACGTTATGGAACCCCCCAGAAGACTACACGCACAATGTACAAACAAATCCGAAATTCTCCTTTTACGAGAATAAGTCAGATTATTGGTGGAGGTAATAATACACCAATGATGACGTATTTATAAATGCAGACATCGATTTTTGCCAATAAACAACTGAAAATGTTACACAATGTCCCTTTAATCTCAGACTAAATAGAAATTTGAATTTACCATGAACTTTATCTAAAGTGTGATGTTCAATGTTTGAGTTTATATTTTTTATTTATTTATTCAATCCCTGTGTCACTAACTTAATTAGTTATTATTTGATCGCTAATTGTCTGATTTTTTTATTTTGTTACATTTATTTAAAATGTGTCTTATATGGCCTTAAAGCTTCTATGCAATCTTATTTCTCCTTGTATTGTATTTATGATACTTTCTGTAATTGTAAAACTTGCTGCCAGTCCACACAAATGTGAGGGTCAAACTCAAGCCTGATTTTGGGTGTCACAATTGTTTTTTTCCCCTTCTGTAATCTAAACAACTGCATTTATTACAATTTCTATGCAGTATTGGTTGGCTTTCCTTTTCATCCATGATGGCTTTCTGAAAATTCTGCAGCTCTACCTTTACTATGATTGTTTTCTCAGATAGATATTAAATGACCATTTTAAGCCTGTTTGCTATCAGCTCAGCAAATAGCCTGTCCCCATCCTCACCTGAAAACAGCCAATATTACTTCAGCTAATCCCTGTTCATTAGTATCGATCAGGACGAACAAACATGCACCATCTCCATATTTCTTGTCACACTGTTGTATGATTGCTGCACTCGGTATATAATATATGACTGAGAGTAGGGCTCCTTCAAGATTTTCTTTTTCATGCACACACAAACACACACACAAGTGGTGTGCGGTGGAGCACGTTAAAACTGTCAATTGCAGGGGATTGATTGGGCATTGAAGGAACGCAAGCAGCCAAACAGTGGGTAATTTGGATCGATTGAGCCCAGCTACTGCGATCTGGTGGCTGGAGTCGGTTTGGATAAGTTGCAGAGGATAAATACAGACAAAGCTTTATGTAATGCTGATTTGTGTGTGTTCATTAAGGGCAATACATAACAGGGTTTGTATTTAGTAAGAAATATTGTACTTTGCCTCTACAGGGTACATTACTCTTCCATTGCTGCTCATCGCCATGTGAACGGTTGTTAAACCTGTAATTGAACAGTGTAAAATGAAATAGTATTTGTGATTTGCTCTCTGTTTGTGTCCAGCAACATGTTCCTAAGTCAATTAACATCTTTCTTCTGAACTAATTAGTAGCAGCAAGTTACTGGCATGTCCTCTGCCTTTAATAATTCATTTACAAATATAAAAAAGAACACTAAGTAGCATTGTGTGGTCTATTATGGCATGAGTTTTATTTTTTATTTTGTGTTGGCATGATAGCCAAAAACATCCTAAACATACTCATTTAAGTAATTGTGGAGATCTGGGAACAGTTCCACATTTCAAGAAGTCCAACAGAGATAAAAACATGTTAGATGATAATACAGGTTTTAAACACAAACCCCCAGGTTAGCAAAGCATCTTTGTGGAGAGATGGTAAAAAAAGATAAAACTGTTGTAAATATCCGTCACAGTTTACACACAGACTTCCTACTTCATTTTCCTAGTTCTAAAGGCTGTAAAACGATGTAATTTTCTGAACTTACCAAACTGTTCTAGCTGTTCTATTATTTCCCTTTAACCACTTCGTCATTGTATCCACATTAATGTACACACACCCAGTGCACACACCCAAAATGTTGAATAATCCCTTTAAATTAGCAGTTTTGGAAAAACCTTTATGAGTGATTGACAGTAGTGCAGAAGATGATAATAGATTTTGTGTTGACTGCATGTGTCAGAAAGTGATAAGGTAGGTTTTTAGTTCATTAACTTGCTGACTTTAATAATCTCAATTGCATATTTCCTTTGCGGACAAGTTGTTCTTACACATATTACCACTTATTCACTAGTTGAAATGTGTTAAAAACCTAGGAAGGATACATGTAACTTTGCAGTTTCAATAGAAGTCTTTACTTCAGATGATATTCTAAATAGTTTATGCTATGGTTTATACTAACACAGAAGAGGGAGGATACAGGGAGTGTAAAATAAAGAAGGTAAAACCAGAGAATGCATGTTAGAGACCGTAAAGGTTGGATTGGAAGTGAGTCCATGATGGCTCTGTTTTCAGAGGGTTTTCTCAGGAGTCTCTTCTCTTCTCTGTCTGTAGAAAGAGTTATACAGTAAAATAGCGCTGCTCCGCGGAGAGAGAAACACAGGCCGACTGGGGAAGCGCGGAGGATGTTTCTGTCTGTCTGTGTTCTTCTCATCCTTAACCCCCCTCCTCCCCATCCTCCTTTCTCATTCAGCTGTCCAGACTCTCTCTTCAGCATTTTTTTTTTTTTTTTTGCCTTTACTTAACTCTGTCTTTCGTCCGCTCTGTCTGTCTCCCTCACCTCGTCCCTCTTGATGCTGATGCTCTCTTTGACAAGCCTGTTGTTTTGGAAATATGCTAGTCCTTCATGTGTTTTTTTTTTCTCTCTCCCCGAGGCTAGAGGTGTGGGGGGGGATGAGATTGAAGGATAGATTTCTCACACACGGTGGCCTTGCTTTGTGAAGTAGAAAACACAAGTGGTGTGGATGCCTGTCTGTTCCACTCTGCTGCTGCCCCCCCTCCCTCCACCACCTCCTATCCCTTTGCTCCATCCTTCCCCACGTTGCACACTGTGCCCTTGTCACTCACTCTTCCTTTTCTCCTCTCGTCTTTCCTCCCCTCTTTTTTCCACTCTCAGAGCGGCTGGAGCCAGAGGCCTCAGTGACGGTTTCCATGGGTATTGACTTCAGCGACTCGACACAAGCAGCCAACTTCCAGTTGTGGTAAGACAACTTGACATCCGCTCATATCAAGTCAGGCTTTTTTTCCCTCTCAGACCTACATCTCTTTCACTACCCTTTTCTGCTACTGCTCTCCAGATTCAACATCACATCTCCCTCGTGTGTCTCTTTCTTTTATGTTCATTTGCATCCTCTCTTACCTTTTTCCTCACTCATTTGTTCTTTGGTAATTCTCCTTTTCCTTCCCTGCTCTGTGCCAGCACTCCCAGGTGAGACATCAGCCACAATTGATCTGGGTTCACTGGGATAACAATTATTCCTCCAGTAATCAGCCCCAGCTCAAATCAACCTGCTGAATGCCATCAGCACCGCTGCTCAGCTGATCAATAACCTTATCAGAAAATCTGTTCAGGATGGGGGAATCAATCTGGCCCAAAATGCCATTCACAGAGTGTGGTTTGCAAGGCAATCAGAAGAGAAACATTTAATACACAAGCAAAGCAAGAATACATACATGTGCACAAAAGACGCACACTGTAGCACGTCATCCTTCATTCACTCAGGTTAAAATGAATTTGAATTAGGGGGGAAACATTGTCTTGCAACAAGTCCGACCTCACAATTATCCTACTTCACTCTTTATGTTAGATATCCTGTAAATGATTCACTAATGCTTTCCTGTTGTTTTCCTCCCGCAGCACCAAGGAGGACCAGTTCAGTGTGTCCATCCAGCCGGCTGTGGGTGAGCTATTAATGCCCAGTAGTGTGACAGAGCAAGACTTCAGCAAGGAGCAAGGTGAGGTATATTTGTATCAGTGTCCTGTTATAAGCCTAAAGCACAATGAAGATTGTTGTAATAATTACCACTAAATACAAGCTTGCATTTTTTTTCTCCTGAATCAAATTGGTGATAGAGGAAGAACTAATCCCTTTCTTTTCTGTTAGTGTTTCAAGACTGTTGGTGTTTTGACGTGCAGAGCAACCTCACAGGATGACCTACCAATGTGATGTGTGCATTTGCAGTGTGTTCAGGAGGCGAAAAAATACATTCCAAATGACATGGCCATACTTTTCACCATATTTATAGAGATAATACCACATTCTGATTTCATTTCATTTCATACCTGACAGAATGAGCTACTCTACTTTTAACCACATTTCAATAATACTTGACACAATAAGCTACTATACTTTTAACTATATTTACAAAGATAGTAGACCATCCTGATAGATCTGTCAATATTGGTAGGTCATTCTGAGCTGCTCTGCTGGGTCTCAAATAAAAGAATTATCTTTCCTGTTTGCCCAAATGTCCACAGTCTTTTTTGCAAATCAGCTTCTGATGATAATATTCTGATTAAAAGATAAAGCTGGCCATATTCTAATTTTTTTTATTTTCAGCAAATCTCCAGAACCAAAGTGTTAGTCCGTCTCTTTAAACTTTTTGACTTCCCCACCCTCATACTCTTCTTACTGATGCCATGAATCTTTAAAAAAAAGGCTGACAAATCTATAGTTATTTATTTTTTGAAGCCTCAGCCCTGTCGTTTTTAGCAAACGTCACTCAAACGAGAGGAAATTGTGCATTTATTTGGGGGTTTTCAGCTGTGGATTGTTACACATTAGGTACGCAATTAGGGTTGACTCAAAGTAAACCCTTAAAATCAAATCAAACTTTATTTATAAAGCCTCTTTCATACAAACATGCAGCCCAAAATGTTCCACAGAGCATGATTAAAACAGCATAGATAAAGTGATGTACAACATGTAAATAACTAGAGAGTAAAACAATAAAAGATAACATTTATAAAATGAATAACATTAAAAAAGAACATGTAATGAACATGTAAAGATAAGGGGGGGGGGAACAGTAGAAAATACTAAAGAGGAGACTTAAAAACAGAGGCAACAAATGATGAAGCACTATTAAGTAAAAGCCAAGTGAAAAAGATATGCCTTAAGGTTTAATTTAAAAATGTCCACTGAGGTTGAGTCCCTCAGATGCTCAGGTAGACTGTTCCATAGACTTGGGCCACTGTGGCTAAACGCTGATTCCTAATGGATTTTTATTGAAATCCATGGGATGACCAGCAGGCCAGCAGTAGAGGATCTGAGGGACCTGCTAGGTACATATCTAAGAAGCATGTCCAAGAGATGGGCTGGTGCCAGACCATTCAGTGATTTCAAAACTAATAAGAGAATCTTAAAATCAATTCCACAACTGATAGGCAGCCAATGCATTGACTTTAAACAGGAGTTATATGTGCTCTCTGTCTGGTCTTCGTCAGTATTCTAGCTGCTGTATTCCGAACAAGTTGTAGGCCGCTAACACCTTTTTTTGAGGTAGACCAAACAAGAGAGCATTACAGTAGTCAAGCCTAGAGGTAAAAAGGCATGCATAAGTTTTTCTGTGTCAGCCTGAGAGAAAAACTGTCCAACCTTGGCAATGTTTCTGAAGAGATTAAAAGTAAGACAGTTTGGTGATGTCTCTAATGTGTGATTCAAAATGGAGTGCCCAAGTTCAATATGATGATCATGGCCTGAATGATACTGGATTTTTGAGGTCTGTATTGATATAGATAATATATATGTGTAGGTATAGATGGGGTTTTTTTAAATGGACACAGTGGCTTGCAAAAGTTTGGGCACCCCTGGTCAAAATTTTGTGCAAAAATTACTTTTTTAATTTCAATCTTTCACAGTTTCAAAATAACAAAAACAGGAAAAGGGCCTAAAGCAAAGGTTTGGGCACCCTGCATGGTCAGTACTTAGTAGCTGGAATTGAATTGAATCCATTCTTCCCTCTACCTGTGAAATGTTCCCCGTGCCACTGGCTGCAACACAAGCCCAAAGCATGATCGAACCGCCAACAGATGGACAGGAGTTATTTCGATGAAATTCTGCACCCTTTTTTCTCCAAACATACCTTTGCTCACTATGCCCAAAAAGTCCTATTTTAACTTCATCAGTCCACAGGACTTGTTTCCAAAATCATCAGGTTTTTTTTTTAGATGTTCCTTTGTAAACTTCTGACACTGAATTTGAGGACACAGGAAAGGTTTTCTTCTGATGACTCTTCCATTAGGGTCATATTTGTATAGGTGTCGCTGCACAGTAGAACAGTGCACCACCACTCCAGTGTCTGATAAATCTTCCTGCAGGTCTTTTGCAGTCAAACAGGGGCTTTGATTTGCCTTTCTAAGAATCCTACAAGCAGCTCTCTTGGAAAGTTTTCTTGGTCTTCCAGACTTCAAGCTGGCCATCACAGTTCCTGTTAACTGCCATTTCTTGTTGCACATTTTTAATCTGACTCTTTTAACTGATTGTATTCCTAATATATGGAAAACAGCATTTGTAACTCCTCTGCACAAAAGTGGCCCCTCAAATGAACTGAATAATTACTGTCCAATTTCAAAACTACCCTGCTTAGCGAAACTATTAGAACGTCTGATAAGCAACCAAATTAGATATTTTTTTATCTGAACATGAAGTTTTAAACATCTATCAGTCTGGTTTTAGACCTGGACATAGCACTGTGTCAGCAATTGCTAAGGTTATGAACGATATCGCTAGACAGTAAACTTGATTGTGTTGCCCTTTTTATTGACCTTTCTAAGGCCTTTGACTCGGTTGACCATACTATCCTTCTTGAGTGTCTGCATAATATTGGGCTTGATTACAAGTCATGTAAATGGGGTGAGAATTATTTATCTGGTAGATCTCAAGCTGTGATTAGTGATGGTCTCATATCGGAATTTTTGAATATATACAAAGGGGTTCCGCAGGGTTCTGTTTTAGGACCTCTGTTATTTTCTATTTATATCAATGATTTTAATTGTGGTATCAAAAATAGCTCAATTCATCTTTATGCTGATGATTCAATCATATATTCTTTTGCTCCCTCTGTTGAAATAGCTCTGAGTAATTTACAAGATGACTTCTGTTGTATCCAAAGAACTCTGACTGATCTTAAATTGGTTTTAAATCCAGGAAAATCAAAGTACATGATTTTCACAAAAAAACAAACAAACAAAAAAAAAACAAAAACGCACTGCTGACTTAAATAAGATCAGCCTTGCTACTGCTGATGGGACTCCCTTGGAAAGGGTTTCCTGTTATAAATACTTGGGTATCTGGATTGATGACAAATTGTCTTTTAATTTACATGTTGCAGAACTTTTAAAGAAGCTGAAGCCTTTATTGGCATTCTTTTATAGAAATAAATCCTGTCTACCTCAGTACTGTAGAAATCAATTAGTACTTGCTACCTTTTTATCGGTTTTAGATTATGGTGATATTATTTATATGCATGCTTCTCCCTCTATTCTTAAACCACTTGACACAATTTATCATTCTGCTATTAGATTTATTACTGGCGATGGGTTCATGACCCATCACTGCCAACTCTATCAGAATGTAGGCTGGACTTCCCTGGCTCTGAGAAGGGAGCAACACTGTATATTGTTTATCTATAAGGCATTGCTTAAAAAACTCTCTCTCTATTTATCGAGCTTACTGAGTTTTCGATCTTTAAACTACCCCACTCGTGCACCAAACTCACTGGCTCTTAATATCCCAACTGTTAGAACGGAGGTAGGAAAAATTGCTTTTGGTTATTTCGCTCCTCTTAAATGGAATAATCTGCTGTCTCAGCTTCAGTTGGATACATGGATTCCTTTTAATCATTTTAAACGCATTCTTATTGACCTCATGCTTTCTGAATGTACATGTACTTGTTGATTTCATTATATGCTTCTGTGGTGTGTATATTATCGTTATTGATACGTATTGTAATGTGTATTGAATTGTATTTATTGTACTGTAATCAGGGTGCCATTGGAAATGAGAGCTCGCTCTCAATTGGCCCTCCATGAATAAATAAAGGTGATATAAATATTTCATAATTACGTTACGAACTGTGGAAAGACCGACCTGAAAACACTTTGCTATCTTCTTAAAGCCTTCTCCTGCTTTGTGGGCATCAGTTATTTTAGTTTTCAGAGTGCTAGGCAGCTGTTTAGAGGAGCCCATGGCTGCTGATTGTTGAGACAAGGTTTCAGGAGTAAGAGTATTTATAAAGCTTTGAAATTTGTATCACCTGGCCTTTCCTAACAATGACTGTAAACAAGTCATAGCCCTAACAAGCTAATTACCTCTGCCAAGGAGGTTATGTTTTCGCTGGTGTTGGTTTGTTTGTCTGTTTGTTTGTCTGCAAAATAACTCAAAAAGTTCTGAACGGATTTTGATGAAATTTTCAGGAAAGGTTGATAATGGGACAAGGAACAGATGAAAAAAATTTGGTGGTAATCGGTTGAAGTGGATAAAATTATAAAATGGCGGGAAATCCAAGCTGCTTGGTGGAGGTCTGCGCTCTCCGAGTGCTTTTCTAGTTAAGGTCTGAGACCCTGGTAAAAGTTGTCTGAGAGCTCAAATATCTTGGGGTGCCCAAACTTTTGCAGGGTGGTCCTTTTCTTTTTTCACTCTAAACTTGTACAAAACAAAAATAATACACTGATCTTGCTTAAAATGTTGAAAAGCATGTTTTATCTTTAACTTCATGCCTTTTGGAGATCAGTTTCTCACTTAACGGTTCACAGTAAACAAAATTTTGACCATGGCTGCTTTTGCATGCTACTGTACATAATGTAAACAGGGTTTTAACAATAAGAAAATATAGAATATCACCAGACCTATTCTAAAAAAGGCAATTTAACTGTTAAAGATGAATCTAAAACACATTTTACAGACCTAAAGTGAAATAAAATCATAGTAGCCAACCTCTAATAAACATTTCTTCACCTTTGTCATTAAGGCAGAATGCTTGCCTCTTATGAAGCACTTAATGATATTCCCCACACACACACAGAGGCGCACACACCTGTGGAGCTACATCCTGTGGCAGCTATTGAGAGCTGAGAGCATACTCATATCTAAGCCATCAGTGTGCTCTTAAGTGCCTGCTTAATGCTGCTTCTGCCTTAATTAATCTTCATTCGCTGTGTTTTGAGCTCTACTGAATACACCTTGCACTAAAAAAAACACACCAGAGCAGAACAACTTGCTTTGCTGGAGCTTTTTTCTCTCTAGCAAATTGCTGCTTTATACTAATTGAGTGAAGTTAATTCATGCTTTCAGTTTACAGGTTTTCATTATATTTGCCTTTAAGACCTCTTTTATTTCTGCCTAACTTGTGCATATTTATCTCCATTCTTTCTCCCAAATTCTTGCTCATTACTAAGTGCACATGAACTGGCCCTTTGCCTTCAACTGGGAGTCTTTTTTGCAACTCTATTTGTAATATTAAAGAAGGCACCCTTTTATTTTTAAGCATCCCCAGTTACCATCAATCTGTTTTATCATGTTGTTCCATTAGTGGCAGCCCTGAAATCAAGTCCCAAAATACTTTGTATACAAAAATTGTTATTGAATATTTTATATGTATAACACTTGACCGTGGAGTTGTGATTATGCCCATAGCTGCTATATATTAAGTTCAAGTTTATATTAGACAAATACATGTAATTAACAGGAGGACCAGAATTAAACTCCTGTTTGCATAGGTTGTTCTTTGATGGTTTAACATTTTGCATTCTCTCAGGTAAGCTCCTGGGCATGAATGAGACGTCTGCAACCATCACCATGGCAACAGCAAACACCTCCAGCCAGGCCATCAGCAAGCAGGTCCTGTCTGTGGCCAACGTAGGAGTGGTTTCATCCAGCAAAAACGACTTCCACAGGTGAATTCTCCAGAAATGCACACACATTTTATTCACCACATGAATTCTTCATTTCCACACAGTGGACCTCCAGACACATACGACCTTGATCACTTTTGATGACCTGGATAAGTCAGTAATAATGGAAACAGGCCTTGTTGCAGGGGCGACATAAATATTTCGTTAGCACCAATAGTTTGGGTTTCTTCAGTTTGAGAAGTTATCCATCAATTTTAACCTTCTATTAAATGAGTCAAGTCCCAATGGGATCTAATTTGCAAAGAGACATGAGTACATGTAAAATAATACAGCATACTGAGGAACAGTAATATACATTAGGATATAAATACATGATGGGAACTACGGAAAAACAAACTAAAGTAGAAAAAATATGTTTATTTGATTTAACAGCATGTTCCTAAAATGCCCCAAGTGTATGGAAACATCCACTGAATATTTTGACTGCACATTCAGGCATCAGCAAGTTCTGTCAGGGAATGTAGTGATCCCAGAATCTTTCTTTGAAACTATTTTATGAGTTTGTTCTGTCTGAGAGCTAAAAAGACAGTGTGCCTGCGTACATGTGCCTTGTGTTTTTATGTGGAGTTGAGTGAAACGGTGTGTATGCAGGTATCATAGAGTGAAAGTGTCTGTGTGTCCCCCACCAGCCTCACACAGACATGCCAGGGGAATGCCCTGAGAAGCCTGGCTGTGTAATTGGTGTACACAGAGTGTGCTAATGAGCTTCCTCCTCTGTCACGCACACCCGAACACCTGATAGATAATTACACCTCCCTCTCTCCCTCTGTTTCCTGCTCTGTCTCTCTTTCACTTCATCCATGCCCCCCCCCCCCCCTCCACCCACCCACCCATCTGTCTCTCCCTCCACACCGCTATCTCTCTTTCACTTCCTCTTTGTCTTTCACTCCATCCCTCTGCGCCATGCTCTGTCCTCCTCCTGCTCGTCTCTTTCTGTCTGTCTTTGTATTATCCTGCTCTGTGCAGACATGTCTCTGTCTTTTCGTCTTTTGAATGATCTCATGTTCGTGATAATTTCTTTTTTTTTTTTTTAGGAATAGGGGAGACGTAGGAAATGGTGGATAACTAAAGGACAGTGAGGGAGTCAGAGTGAAAGAATAAGAGGGGACAGTAGCACAAGGGCACAGAGAGCTGAAAGAGTGAGTGGAAATCAATGTAAGCCAATGGGAGAGGCCTGCATCCAATAAGCCCATACTTCATTGAGAATAACCAATAGCTCAAATGACTCCATGCTATCAATCTCTCTCCTGCTTCTGTGACAGTTTAAGAGGAAGACAGTCTCCCAGTGTTGCCCGTCCTCTTAATGAAGACGCTCCTTTCAGTGTTGTCTGCCGGTGATGACCGGCTTTTCCACATTGTCCTTAGAGAGATGATGGAGTTCCTTGCTGAAAAAATCCTCAGCCATTGTCTTCTTCTAAAACGTCTTTGAGAAGTTGTAGCAAAGATCTCTAAATCTGTCCATTTATGGTTTTGATTCGGTGCCAGTGACTGCACAAGTTTACACATTGGGGTGGCTCAGGAAGTAGAGTGACACACACTGAGTGTGCGTGAATGATTATCTGATGAGCAGGTGGCACCATGTATGGTAGCCTTGGCCACCAGTGTGTGAATGTGTGTGTGAATGGGGTGAAAAGGGCTTTGAGGGGTTGCTAAGACTAGAAAAGTGCTATATAAATGTGGTCCATTTACCATTTACATGTTCAAATAACAGAGAGAAATTAGTGCTGCCACTGTTATTCAATTAATTGTTTAGTCAGTCAACATTAAAGTTAAAGATGTGCTTTGCAGGATTTTACTAAAAACAATGTAGTCTGAACAGAAGTAATCCCTCTCGTCATCACTTGTGACCCACTCACAGTGTGTGACAGTGTATTTACCTTCGGAGACTTTGCTCACTGCCTGGATTTTCGTATTTTTTGTGTTCGAGATGTTTGTGGGCGTGTACCACCACATAGCTCAGATGGGGTTGGGGGTTTATAAAAAGATAGCGACCAGGTGAGAGACCGCAGCCAAGAGACTCAGCGCAAAAAAACCGCACATATAGCGATGCGAAATGCCAAACCTAAGAATCTGGGGTTGGCTTATACTTTCACTTTTGCTGGCGAGCGTGTTAACAAACTGTAATCGACAATCCTGCATAGAATACCTTTAATCTTAAACAGTTTTGCCAGTCAGTGAATAAGTTAAGTCATTTTAAAAGCAAAACAGTCCAAAAAATCCTTGGTGTCACCTTTTCAAATGTGAATATTTTTTGGTTTTCTTACTTTTCTATCACAGTAAATTTAGTATCTTTGTTTGACCAGCAGTCAAAAACCCAAACATGTAAATGTTACCACGGGCACTTATGATGGGCATTGTTCCCTATTTTCCAAGATTTCATAAACACAAACAATTATTCAATATAATGAGAAAATTATCATTAAAGCAAACAATAGTTCATACATCAGTAGTTGCAGCCCTAGTTATGATTGTGCTTTTAATTTTCCAACTTGATGCTGGAGCAAGTTTGTATTTCTATCATTCATTGTTTTTGTTGTTTTGTTTGGAAGCAGCTTTGTTTCATAATTCTACAGGCAATGAATCATTCATGCTTAATTTACACTACATTTCCCTTTTCCCATTATCTGGATCCCAACCGAGAGTGGTGTAACAATAGGGCAGCCACTAATAACTATTTTCATTATTGATTAATCTGTATTATTTCTACAGATAATTTATAATTCAGACTTCATTTCAGACTCACAAGAGGGCCCATAGCAAAAAAAGAGAAAAAGACATACAAGTTAAAAGCCATCACAGTTCATCATTGTGGTGGTTAATGTCGAAAACATCGAAAAATGCCCATCGCAGGTCCACAGGGGCAAAGATGATGTCTCTGAATGTCTGAACAACAGTCAAAAACCCACCAAATATTAAATTAAACTAAATTGAATTGATTTAATTTTTGTAATATAAAACTGTAAGGTGCAACAAATCCTCACCTTTTAGGAGCTGCAACTGGAGGATGTTTGGATTTTTTGCTTGATAAATGACAAACTGTTATTTAATTTCAAATTGTTGTTGATTAAATTTCTGCCAGCGGGCTCATCCTTTTAACACTAGTAATTTTAGTCCTGGAGTTTTTGTGTGTTGCTGCTGTGCATACTTTGAATAACACACACACACACACACACACACAGAGCAGAGCGATCGATCTAATCGGATACACCCACTGAGAGCTTATTGTGGAGGTCACTCGGCATTAAATGTGATGTGTGAGGTGACCTCCATCCAGGACCCCTCTCTTTCTCCTATGATCTCCCCAGAAAAAGGGTCCTCTCATCCGGGTAAGATCACACAAGCTATCTGCCCTCAGAGGAGCGAGAGCTTAGCTTTAATGTAGAAAAGGATCTCAATATGAATCCTAAGAATGACACAGTTCACAACACACTGCCTGTGCTTTAAACTGACCTCAGAAACCTCACTGCATGATAAATGGCAGTATTGGAGGTAACGTAGGTTTCTGTTTAACAAAGCAACAGCCTGCCCCGACACCTCCCCTCGGCACCTTTGCATCCCCTGCACTCCTCTTGTTTATCAGCAGGGTGCAGCACTGCTTTTCCCAAACAGGCGTCGAGGCCCGAGCGGAGGGGGGATGCCACTGAAACACAGAAATTGATTGCTGGAAAGGAGGATGGCAATAAATCAAGCAGGAAAGCAAATGTAGAAAACGCTGTTCTTGTTTATGTCTAAACAGGCGGAATAGAATAAATGTGCTCTATTTTTCAGTCCGTTTGAAAGCAAATTTGATCGAATTTTGCATGCATTGCCAATCCCTCTGGTTAGAGACTAATTTTCAGGGAAAAAAACTGAACCCCTTGATTTATAAGCTATGCTTTCTCTTTACTTTACACTTTGATATAATTAAATTATGTTTCTCTGAACATTGTGAATTTTCCTCTTTTCGGTGAAGTTGAATTCTTGTTCCTATTTAAAATTTAATTGACTATCATTTATAACCTGACTAATTAAACGCCCAGTCTCTTTATTACAGATTGCTACAGCAGACAGTGTGACTTATGATATATCTTCAGATGATACAAAGAGTGCAATGTAACTGCAGTCTATTAACAACCCACATTACCACAATGAAGATACAACATGAAGCCACATTTACATGTTAAACTCAGTTGTTGGCAAGGTTTTCCTCGAATCTTCGTTGAGTTAAGTTCTTGTCTCCACTTCCCATTTTGTTTCCCATCAGCCTCTGCAGTCTGTCCTCTTCTTCCTCTCACGTCCGTCTGCCTCTCTGCCCTTCGAGTGCAGTGCTGCTGTTCGTCCGTATGGCCAAGCTCTGGAGATGCGTGGAGGGTTCCTGCTTCTAATTGGGGCTAATAGCTCTGGCCATCTGCCTGGTCTGAGTCTGCTCGCATGTGTTCGGCTCTGGTCTGGCCTCACTGACCACTCAGCTGAAGGACACTCCTCCACTTGTCCACCTGGCCAAGAACCGGGATGGAACAATAATGTCCAGCTGTAGCCACTGCACGTTTGGCCTCAGCTTTTCTGAGTTTCTGATTTTGGTGAAAACATCATGCACAGTAGTCAGTTTTTGACCCTGACCTCGTTTCCAGAGAGTTAAAGCTGGTTGAATGTTTACGTAAGATGCATGGGGCTTGTGCACTCGCTGTGGGTTAAGTCCCGCATTCTTGGTAGCAGAATCCTCTGCGTCCTCTCTGCGTGAGGGTGAATGTAAAGGTGGAGCCCACTTTGTGTTTGCAGTGGTAGGGTGGAGGGGAGGCAGATGGCACACACAGGCTCCTCTGCACTGAGGAGAATCGCAGATAATTGGAGAGTGATGCTTAGCCGCAGCCCTGCCGATCGATGCCAATCCGCCTGCTCTAAGTCCAGGGGTTATGCTTTGCTTTTCTTTCCATACACTGCAATTAATCCAGTGTTTAGCCCAGTGTGTGAAGAGTGCAGGAGAATACCAATGACCCGTTTAAGGCCCGCTTGTCCTTAATCTTTCCCTTCTAGGCCCTAAAAATGCACTGGTGTCGTGTTAGATGTGATGCAGAACTGGTCTTTGCACCTCAATGTCCACATGACCACAAACAGCAAAGCGAGAATATTTTTCGAAGCAAACACGCTTGGAAATCAAACACAATCAAAACATGCTGTTGCTTCTTTCACTCGCTCTTATTACCACACATGAACAAAGGCCCACAGCGGCGTCTCCTGAGACGAAATGAAAGCAGCCTCCGGGTAGTGTTAACTGGCTGAGTAAATGATAGATTTATATCCTAAATCCATTAGCAAAGCCATGGGGACCACATAGACACCTTAAGCTGCTGACAGTAGGGGCGAAGAGAAGGGACCATGTATGTTTACTGTACATGTTTTCATGATTGTGTGTTAAATGGAAACAAAATATATGTACTTTTTGCATGAATAGGATTTTTTTATTGTGTTTTTAAAGGGTTGGAACAGATTATGAAAGAGGACATAGCCAGATTTGCCACAATTAGAAATTTGGATTGATACACAACCCGTGAATTATTTACAGAAGTGAGAGCAGAGCAAAGAGGTTGGTATTTTTTGAGAGAAATTAATCCTCTTCTTGAATGGCTTGTGTTTCCTGCTGAAGTGGCTAATATTTTAATTAAGCCTGAGGAGGACTCTCTCTCCTCCCTGAGAGCTCCCTGATAAACTCCCTCTCCTCTGTTGATGGTAATTTAGCAGCTCCCCAGAGACACACCCAGACACACTGGGTTTGTGAGCCAGCTCCGTTTTATTGTGTATGCATGTCCCCTTAGTGCCCCCCTCGCCTCCTGCCTCCACGTCTTTAGCGTGTGCGTGCTAATTGGCGGACGTGCTAGCCGCTCCTGCCACTCAGCACGCCGTCACGGGGCTCCGTGACAGTGCCTGTCCACAGGCCGTCCTGTGGGGGCTCTTCACAGGCTTTAGTCAGGCCTAAGTGGGACTCTTTGTGGGCTGTTTGTCAGGCCTAAGCAGGCTGCCACGGGGGGTCTTTGTTGCAGGGATGTAGTGCTAAATGGAGGCAGATGGCTGGGAGTTAGCCACGTGAGGCCCAGAGATGCAGAGGGGAGAGGGGGCTCTGCTCGGCTCTGTCGCCCTCAAAAGAGGGTCACACTGGGTCAGAGCCCCTGTCTACCTCTTGTTAGCGCTCTCAATGGGGACCATGTGTGCCCAGATTTGCCCCCAGTCTACAGGGACTGTATCCAAGGAAACAGCGAACCAAGAATTCTCCCAATGGTCCAGAGGGAGCCGGTGGGACGGGGCATCCCCCATAGTGGTCGAGAGGCTCCCACACACTCATAGACACCCACAGTCCATAAAAACGGCTGACTTCTGTTTGATGGGCAGGGAGGGCGTGTCTCACCCCTAATGGCTCTTTAGTCAGCTGGGATAATACACTGTCTGTTACTCTGCTCTCTATATTTCCTGTCACATCATTTTCCTGCTTTGTCTCATTCACTAATTTCAAGTAATTACAAGGTGTGAGGTGTAGAAGAATTTTTTTAAACATGAGGTTTTACTGGTTGGGGGATAAATTTCAGTTAAGTGTGTAGGTTGGGCAGTCTCTAATATTCAAAGGTGCCTGATGTTTGTTATGCAGTCGTCACTGTGGGCTTCACATCCTGGTGTTTCATGTGAATTCTGAAATTGCAGTAAATTGTTTACACTTTCTAAGTAAAAAAGTCTTAGGCTGATAAAAAGATTAGACATTATGTTTAATTTCAATTGAAGACATATTTCATATACTAGAAATATGATGATAGAAATGTACACTAAAAGTAGTGATGTAGGCTTGGTTTAATGCACAGATGAGTCTCATTCTTTAACAGCTAGAGCTAGTGTTTTATTCCTGCCAGAAAACTACACGTATGTTTTTATTCTCAAATAGCATGACATACCCGACCTGCTACAATATCCTGCCCAGTAATGACCAATTATTCAGATACATGTTAGTTTCCATACACCATTTTTCATTTTTATTTTTGCAGATACGTTAAAAAAAACCCATAAGATTTGTTAGACAGGTGGATGAAAAATCTTTATGTTTATTTATTCTGGATTTTTCTTTATGTTTTTTTTTCTTTTCCCTTTCTGGTTTAACGGTTTCAAATATTGGATGACTGATCCTTCACTCAAGGACATTTACAGAAGTTCATTCATTCAACTGAGACTTTGGGCGACAGGCTAGCCACACCAGTCATATAAAACGGCACTTCACTGTTTGGATGGGCTGTAGTAGCCAACAGAGCAAATATGGAAAGAGATAGAAGGTGATGTGTTTTTGGATGAAGCAAAACCTTTGTTTTCTTTTTCAAAACAATGTGGCGGAGGTCTGATTCATTCATCTCTCCCTCCTGATCTAACAGTGAGAGAGGTGTCTCTGGAGCCAACAATCCCCTCAGCAGCAGACTCCACTGTAGCTTTGTATTGCACTAAACTCCAAACCCGCCCACTTTGAAGCATTCTAATCAAATGCAAAAGGTTTGAGTTAAAACCCTTGTATAACTGTACACCAAGCAAATATTCTGTTTCACAGTAGAGGAGCTAAAGACCCTCTAATTTCTTACAGGACTTTAAAATTACATTTCTTTCGCTGTTACTGCAGATAGACAACAGAATGTGTTGTCAACAGTTTTTATAGGAGCTTTTTCTTTGGCAGTGGGCAGGAAATACCAAACAGCTCATTTTCAGTCTGTCTCAGTGGTTTTTGAAGCTGACCCATGTTCTGTAACTCACCTGCAGGTTTGCTGGGCGGACAGTCAGCAGCGGAGCACTGGTCTTGGTGTCACTGGAGCTGAAGGAGTCCTCCACTGCCCTGCTAACCATCAACACAGAGAAGAGCGTCATGGCGTCCATGTTGCTCCGAGACCTCAAACAAGCCCTTGCCCAGGCGTAGAGACCCCCCCCCCCCCCACTTTCTTAAGTAAAGGTAAAGGGGAACAGCGCTTCATTAAAGATTTCATATATTTTATTTTTCCGGTTAAGGACAATTCAGGCAGTACTTGCAAATGCATGGCACTTTTATCCACAATACAGCAACCGAAGAGCTGAACTTTTGTCACTGACACAGAACTGGAAACAATGGAAGCGTGCAGCGTTTCTTATTTTTCTGCTCTGTGGTTTTTGGAAAGGATTGTCCTGAATCGCAGGAATAAATTTGTGAAAAAAGTGATGATCCCCTTTAAAACACACAGAAGGCATCATAGAAGTGATAATACAATTTAAAATGTGACCCGCATACCTTCTCCTGTAGAAGTCACTCCTAAACATGACACTACTCCACCCAATCATGTGAAACCAACTGGTCATTTACCTCAGTGGTGACCATTTAAATATAATGCCATTTATGGGTTTGACCAATGTTATTATGTACAAACAGCTGTACATACATTTTGGGAGAAAGAAAGTATCGCTGCCTCACTTTTGGTGCTACAGGCCAATTTTTCTGTCCCTCTTTAATGTTTATACAGATTGAGATACTCCACTAAAGCATTGATGTCTGACTGTATTTCATCAGCATTTGTGCCTGAGCCAAGCCACTCTGTGTTTGCATTGATGGACTTTGTTCTTTATGCCAAGAGAAAGAGAAAAGGAGGATTTTCTCAATGCCATTTAGACCCATCTCAACACTGTCATTACATTAATAATCTTTGGGAAGCTGCTGCAGCACCAGACGAGCCTCTGTCCCTGATGTAGTTTTACATTCCAACCTTTCCACTGCCCCTAAATCACATTTATTAAAGTGCCTTCTACATGAAAATAATGTTATTTAGAAAACCAAAACGTATAGACTTAAATCAACAAGGTCTTTTTATCTGTACCGCTTTTGCTGAACAATAAAAAGTGAATTTATTAAAACAATAAACATTTTATTTGCTTGTGTTTTGCTGATGATGACGTTCCTCTGTGTAATCTGATCCGTGTTACCTGATGATGTCTCTCCAGCTGTGATTTATGGTCATTAAGATGAACGTGGCTGAAACAGAAAATCGTTAATGATGAGCTCTGCTAATTGGCAGGCTGAGTCGCGTACCATGTACTCATGACATCATGATTTTTCTGAATCTGTCATTCCACCTGCTGTCATATGTTCTTCCCCTTCATCCACCGATCAGATGTGTTGTATTCTATAAGCCAGCAGTGGTGGAAGAAGTATTCAAATTCCTTATATAAGTAAAAGTCTAATGCCACACTGTGAAAATACTCCACTACAGGTAAAAGTCCTGCATTCAAAACCTCATTCAAGGAAAAGTATGTGAACCTAAAGTATCACAATTCATCATCATTTAGTCAGTTGTATGGTATGCTGTATGATTAGTGCTATATATGTTTTAGGTGGTGCTCATTTTAACTCTTTTATATACTGCTGGGTAGTTTAATCTACAGCAATGCATCATATTCTATGAGATCATCATATGTTTGTAGTGTGGCTGTCCCGTGAGAACCATGTGTCTCTAAAAAGTCAACTTTTTATGCTGTCAGAAAAAAAAAAATGCTGTTTTCAGCTTTGTCATGATGTATTTTCCAGCTGACCCAAGAGTGTTTTTTAAGAGTTAATGTCACTCAAGAAGGAGGAGAATTTCCTCGACACATAAAGGAACACTTCATCCTTCAGTTTATCACAAACATTAACAAAAATAATGTGTGGAGATACGTGGTTTCCACTGCAAGGGTGGTGAAAAACTGTCATCTAAGCTTTCAGACAAATGTAGTGCAATTAAAAAGTACAATATTTGCAATATTTAAATAGAGTAGAAGTACAAATTTGGATAAAATGGAAATAGTCAAGTAAAGTACTTGTACCTCAGATTTGTACTTAAGTACAGTATTTGAGAAAATGTACATAGCTATGTTTCACCCCTGTAAACCAGATGTAGACAAGCAAAGATTCATGATCTGCATCCCAACTAGGGCTGCAACTTACTATTATTTTCATTGTTAATTAGTCTGTTGATTTTTATTTTTTTTTTCTGATTAATCGATAAGTTGTTTGTTAGTAAATGATGAAAATGTCCATCAGTATTTCCCAAAGCCCAAGATGATGTCCTCATATACAGTACAGGCCAAAAGTTTGGACACACCTTCTCATTCAATGCGTTTTCTTTATTTTCATGACTATTTACATTGTAGATTCTCACTGAAGGCATCAAAACTATGAATGAACACATGTGGAGTTATGTACTTAACAAAAAAAGGTGAAATAACTGAAAACATGTTTTATATTCTAGTTTCTTCAAAATAGCCACCCTTTGCTCTGATTACTGCTTTGCACACTCTTGGCATTCTCTCCATGAGCTTCAAGAGGTAGTCACCTGAAATGGTTTCCACTTCACAGGTGTGCCTTATCAGGGTTAATTAGTGGAATTTCTTGCTTTATCATTGGGGTTGGGACCATCAGTTGTGTTGTGCAGAAGTCAGGTTAATACACAGCCGACAGCCCTATTGGACAACTGTTAAAATTCATATTATGGCAAGAACCAATCAGCTAACTAAAGAAAAACGAGTGGCCATCATTACTTTAAGAAATGAAGGTCAGTCAGTCCGGAAAATTGCAAAAACTTTAAATGTGTCCCCAAGTGGAGTCGCAAAAACCATCAAGCGCTACAACGAAACTGGCACACATGAGGACCGACCCAGGAAAGGAAGACCAAGAGTCACCTCTGCTTCTGAGGATAAGTTCATCCGAGTCACCAGCCTCAGAAATGGCAAGTTAACAGCAGCTCAGATCAGAGACCAGATGAATGCCACACAGAGTTCTAGCAGCAGACCCATCTCTAGAACAACTGTTAAGAGGAGACTGCGCGAATCAGGCCTTCATGGTCAAATAGCTGCTAGGAAACCACTGCTAAGGAGAGGCAACAAGCAGAAGAGATTTGTTTGGGCCAAGAAACACAAGGAATGGACATTAGACCAGTGGAAATCTGTGCTTTGGTCTGATGAGTCCAAATTTGAGATCTTTGGTTCCAACCGCCATGTCTTTGTGAGACGCAGAAAAGGTGAACGGATGGATTCCACATGCCTGGTTCCCACTGTGAAGCATGGAGGAGGAGGTGTGATGGTGTGGGGGTGTTTTGCTGGTGACACTGTTGGGGATTTATTCAAAATTGAAGGCACACTGAACCAGCATGGCTACCACAGCATCCTGCAGCGACATGCCATCCCATCCGGTTTGCGTTTAGTTGGACGATCATTTATTTTTCAACAGGACAATGACCCCAAACACACCTCCAGGCTGTGTAAGGGCTATTTGACCAAGAAGGAGAGTGATGGAGTGCTGCGGCAGATGACCTGGCCTCCACAGTCACCGGACCTGAACCCAATCGAGATGGTTTGGGGTGAGCTGGACCGCAGAGTGAAGGCAAAGGGGCCAACAAGTGCTAAACACCTCTGGGAACTCCTTCAAGACTGTTGGAAAACCATTTCAGGTGACTACCTCTTGAAGCTCATGGAGAGAATGCCAAGAGTGTGCAAAGCAGTAATCAGAGCAAAGGGTGGCTATTTTGAAGAAACTAGAATATAAAACATGTTTTCAGTTATTTCACCTTTTTTTGTTAAGTACATAACTCCACATGTGTTCATTCATAGTTTTGATGCCTTCAGTGAGAATCTACAATGTAAATAGTCATGAAAATAAAGAAAACGCATTGAATGAGAAGGTGTGTCCAAACTTTTGGCCTGTACTGTATCTTGTTTTGTCTACAACCCAAAGATTATCAGTTTACTGTCATACAGGAGTAAAGAAACCAGAAAATATTTGCATTAAAGAAGATGAAATCAGAAAATTTAGATTTTTGTTTTTCTCAAACTGAATAATAGATTATTGAATTAGTTGGCAATTCATGTAATAGCTGACAACTAATCGATCAGTCTTTGCCAATCTAGTTTTGACTGCCATAGTTTACATGAAATCTTTTACGTTTTTTCTGCATCTGTATTCTGTCAGTTGAAGGCAAATGCAAATCACAATAAATGTGACCTTGTAACATATAAAACTGCCACTGCCACTTAATGTAATGAAATAAGTACCCTGTATATTTAAACTGTTTTAATTCCAGCCTGTTTGACCAGAACAAAATCACATCTCACACAAACACTAACGGGATTCAGTTGAACAGAAACACTGACTACAACATTAACGTCAGCTGCTGCAACCCCAGTTTCTGCCCAAGTTAAGATCTGGGATAAAGTGAATCATAGCTGTGCACAGTTCTTTAATGTTAATATTCTGCAGTAGGAGATGAATGAGGACTTTGTGCAGAGAGAATGATGAAAGGGTTTTGGCTCCACTCTTGAGTAAAGATGCTCTTAGTGAACTAAAGCCAATCCACCGCCTAAAGACATTTCTGCTGTGTTGCTCATTGTTGAGTAAAGTTCAGTGCAGATGTACGTGATGTGTTTTAGCTTTGAGTGGGCCGGTGGCGTAGTGTGCTTTGCGTCTGGCTGTCTTTTCCGGCTCATAAATAGCGTCTCTCTGAGGGCTGTGGTGAACACCTGTTAGCTCATCTGTCACAGGAGCTCCACTCGCATCCATCACCTCTCCCTCTGTACTCATTCCCTCAGCCAGCTGTTCCCATTACACACACACACACACACACACACACACACACACACAAGCTGCATCAGGCCTGCCAGATACACACACATCATACAGATCCACAGCCACATAGAAGAATTTCAAACTTCTTTCTACATTTTACAAGTTTGTTCACAGAAAGAAAAAAAAACACAACACCTACACACATTGTTTCACTGTTTAAGAGCTTTAATACTCAAATAGCATCTTGACAGTTCAGATACTGACCTCTGTCATTCTACATTAAAATAAGCTAATAAGAAAGAGTTTATAAATGTATGTTACACCTCAGTCCTTTCTTTGAAGCAACACTAAGAGACAGCCACGCTGGTAGCTCTGTATCTGGGAACAGTGGGGCTTTGAGAGAAATGCTAATGTCAGCATGCTAGCGTGCTCACATTGGGCCTCAATCAGAAACTGTGCATACACACAAATAAGTGCTGAAACAGTGCATATGAGTGTTATACACACAATTTTGTTCATACGCTGCAAACAAATTTAGGACTGTTTAGACCATGTGTACGCACAAATGATGAAGGCCTTACTGTCTAAGAAAACGTAAACACACACCTTTTAACTAAATGCATAGCATATTAAAACTGCATTCATTAAAAAAGGCTTTCTTAGACAATTGTGTTTAAAACTGCTAATTTACTAATGTGTTGCCAAAATGTTTAAAAATCTAAGAAACTGACGTCCTTTCATCATCATTAGTTGTATGATATTCAACAATCAAAACTGAGTGTCCTAGTCCTAGCTTAAAATGGAATCTTAAAATGTCCATATTGAAATGTAACAGTTTTGGTTTTCATTGTTTTTAATAACTTGGCCAGTTCTGATTTACCTCCAAGCAGGTGTTAAGATGTTGTATCTTTGCTGGAAGATGTTGCAGCCTGTGCTTTCATGAGAGAGCACATCTTCAGAGACATAACATGTCTAAAGAGAGTGACAAATGGCTTATCAGTCATTACCTACTGCCAAGTCATTCACTTGTATGTACAGAAATAACTTCATCACTTCCTCCATGATACACGTTGAAGCAAATGTATGTCCTTATATAGAGAAATCGGAGCGTAGCAGTATGCTGATTGCTAATAGCTGGCACACAGCTGTCCATTTAGAATGATTCCGATTCACAAAAATACACACAGTGGTAGGAGTAAAGTTGGCCAGTGTACACGTGTCATGAATATGACCCTGATTCAACAACATAACGCAATGAGTGGTGATTAATGTTGCGACCACAGGTAGTATAAAGAGTGACAAAGTCAGCACAGGGAGGAGGTCAGGGT